AGGGTGAGGACAGTGCAGTGAAAAGGCGCTGTGCTCACCAGACTGGGCAGGTCGGGCGGCCCTGAAGGAGGGCGGCGCGGCGGCTCGGCGGCTCAGCTGCTGGGCGGCCCGGCGGCTCGGCGGCTCCGCTGCTGTGCGGCTCGGCTGCTGGGCGGCTCGGCTGCTGGGCGGCGCGGCCGCTGGGCGGCTCGGCTGCTGGGCAGCTCGGCTGCTGGGCGGCTCGGCGGCTCGGCTGCTGGGCGGCTCGGCTGCTGGGCGGCTCGGCGGCTCGGCTGCTGGGCGGCTCGGCTGTGCTGCTGCAGGGCGGCACGGCTGGGCAGCAGGTGACGGGGCCGCAGGTAAGGGCGGCGGGGCCGCTGGTAAGGGCGGCGTGGCCGCGGGTAGGGTGGCGGGGTCGCAGATAGGGTGGCGGGGCCGCAGCAGAGGGCGGCGGGGCCGCAGGTAAGGTGGCGGGGCCGCAGGTAAGGTAGCGGGGCCGCAGGTAAGGTGGCGGGGCCGCAGCAGAGGGCGGCGGGGCCGCAGGTAAGGGCGGGGCCGCAGGTAAGGTGGCGGGGCCGCAGGTAAGGTGGCGGGGCCGCGAGGAAGGGCGGCGGGGCCGCTAGGTAGGGCGGCGGGGCGCGATGGGGCGGCGGGGCCGCGAGGAAGGGCGGCGGGGCCGCGCGATGGGGCGGCGGGGCCGCGCGATGGGGCGGCGGGGCCGCGCGGTGGGGCGGCGGGGCCGCTAGGTAGGGCGGCGGGGCCGCTAGGTAGGGCGGCGGGGCCGCGCGATGGGGCAGCGGGGCCGCGATGGGGCGGCGGGGCCGCTAGGTAGGGCGGCGGGGCCGCGCAATGGGGCGGCGAGGCCGCGAGGTAGGGCGGCGGGGCCGCTAGGAGAGAGGCGGCGGGGCCGCTAGGTAGGGCGGCGGGGCCGCTAGGAGAGAGGCGGCGGGGCCGCGAAGACGGGCGGCGGGGCCGCGGAGACGGGTGGCGGGGCCGCAGTGCAGGGCCGCTAGGGCGGCTCGACGAAGTGAGGGCCCGGAGCGCGACTCGGGCTGAGCGCGCTTCGGGCAGGAAAACAAAATCGATGTGGTGGGCCCTAAGCACAGTTCCCAAGGGGGAACCTGCTCTGATACCATGAGAAGATTTGAACAAGAATGAATGAACTATGAAATGAAGTGAGTACAAATATGAAACCCTAATTGGTTGTACCCCCTATGGAATACCCCACTATAGCCTACACAACAGCATAAGCTATAATGTTCTGACACGCCAGGCGTCGCTCAGACGGGCGAAGCAGCGGGACTCTGCGTGACCCAACGTCCCGCAAGGCTGACCAGTCCGAGCACCAGTGCGAATGACGTACGGACAGCGAGCAGTACCCCGTGACCCGTCACGCTGAGCGTACCACTCACGAAGCTGCTGTGGCGAAAGGACTGCTCGCGGACGACGCTGAAGCTGCACCTGGCCACTACAAGCAGCTGCCGAACTACTCACTCCAGGACGACTCCCACTACGGCCACCCCGACAACCCCAACTAGCGTACCACTCACGAAGCTGTTGGGGGGTGAGGGACTCACGCGGGCGACGCTGCAGCTGCACCTGGCCACTACAAGCAGCTGTGGAACTACTCACTCCAGGACGACTCCCACTACGGCCACCCCGACAACCCCAACTAGCGTACCACGCGTTGGGGCCGCGTAGGGGCGGCGACGGGGCCGCGTAGGGAGGGGAGCGGCGACGGGGCCGCGTAAGGGCGGCGACGGGGCCGCGTAGGGGCGGCTACGGGGCCGCGTAGGGAGGGGAGCGGCGACGGGGCCGCTAGGGGCGGCGACGGGGCCGCTAGGGGCGGCAACCGGGCCGCGTAGGGGCGGCGAGGGGGCCGCGTAGGGGCGGCGACGGGGCCGCGTAGGGAGGGGAGCGGCTACGGGGCCGCTAGGGGCGGCGACGGGGCCGCGTAGGGGCGGCGACGGGGCCGCTAGGGGCGGCGACGGGGCCGCGTGGGGGCGGCAACGGGGCCGCGTAGGGAGGGAGGCGGCAACGGGGCCGCTAAGGGCGGCGACAGGGCCGCTAGGGGCGGCTACGGGGCCGCGTAGGGGCGGCAATGGGGCCGCTAGGGGCCGCAAGGGGCCTGGAAGGGCGACAACGGGGCCGCTAGGGGCGGCGACGGGGCCGCTAAGGGTGGCGCGAGGGGCCGTGAGAGGGGCCTCTAAGAGAGCTCGACAGAAGGGCGGCCCACAAGGCGCGCCTCGGGCAGGAGCGACTGTCGCTCCGGTCAGAAAAAAAAGGTTTCAGTGGTGGGCCCAAGGAAGCGTTCCCACTAGGGAACCTGCTCTATACCATGTGAAGAAATGAGGAATGGATTGACTAAGGGAAAGTTGGGTACAAAAGCAAACCCTAGAAAACTGTACCCCATATGTGCTACCACACTATAGCCTACAGTAGCTATGTCATATAAATCTGACAAACGCTGCTCAAATGCATTAGTGGTTCACATGTAAGGCATTCCAGAACATCAGCTGGAATACAGCTGAAGGTATTAATTCTGTGGCTTTATACCTAAACTGACAATTTCACTCACTGAAGTGCGTATAGCGGAAGCCGTAAATATTTTATGTAATGCTTGTATAACAAGTCGTTCTAATTTACGATGAGTCAGGTGTACTCTGGTAACCTTTTTGTTTCGTTACAGAGCACCTCTTGAATGAATTTCCCCGAATCTTGTAGTGAGTATGAGCAGTGTTGGCCCTATGTTGGAGCAATCCTTGCCGAGCCTGACGAGGTTTGCACTTACAAACCTCAAAATGAAACCTCAACCAATCCCTGCGCGGTGGAGGATTCCCGAAGATAGACCTCAAACATTGGTGTCTGGGACAAACATCAAGCGGTGCTTTAGGATTTCATGAGGAAAGATTTCCGCCGATTTTTTTTGTGACGTGTACTGCAGGAGTGAACGGGCGACAGTGGCTGTTACGTCATCAGCGAGTACCGTGAGATGTTTTTTTGTATAGCATGTCAGGTAGTATCTGATTCATCAGCTCCTAAGATATGTGAATGAATGATTATCGTGGATTTATTTGAAATTGTCGCGTTTGACGATTCTAAGACAAGACTGTGTCACGCTGTTACATGCGGAGTAGACGAAAGAACGGGATCACGAGTTTCGCGAGAAGATCAACCGGCGGCTCCTCGACAGCCTTGTCGCAGCGCGGGATCGCACACACACGAAACATATGTGGCTGCGGAATACGAATCGTCCCAAAGTGCAGCACCATTGAGTGGGGCGTGTTTAGAGAAGCGTGAATAGATACTGCATTGGCTTGAGATACCTCGTGTCACACTTTCACAAACCAAGACTCTCGGAGGGATGGTGTTGAACTCGCCTGAAATGTTACTCGCTAAAATAAACGATTTGGAAGTGAAGACGCTGTGTTCGAATTGTGAACACGTCCGGATGGCTTCACAACCCCACCCTTCCGTCTTCATCGTACTGCCGTGCCTCACTTCTGCTTCCACTAGATTCTAGGTTTTCCGCTTACCTACACTGGTCCAAAAGCCGTCGCTTCCGCTGTCGTGCCATCCAGACTGCTGCAGTGCATGGAACTGTGTTTTTAGCACTTCACTCCCGTCCCGACTCTCTAACTTCTCAATAATGGCGTTTTCTCTTCTCCTTACCGTCCCTCCCCCATCGTTTCAGTGTCTCTTCACGCAGACCTCCAGAAACCCTGGTTTTCCTCGTTGCAAGCACAGTGGTCCACACGTGAGCAGGATTCGCATAAGAGCGCTCATCGTTTGCTCACATTCCATCGTCCTCTCTTTCTGCCATACACAGCCCTTTCGGCGATTGGCACTGTCCAGAAACCCAGTCCAAAGGCTGACTAACCTATCTTAGTCTTCACCAAATTTGAGACTGATACGCCTCTGCCTTCACTTCCCAATCAATACTATCGCGGCTCGCTGGCATACGAACCGCTCGTTCGCTGACTCAAGCAGTCGATATTCTTAATGGCGTGTCCTCGCGTACTCGGCCTGCTCGTCGCGGCATTCGCTGCGGCTCTGTTGCTGCTAGCGGTGCCAGCAGAGAGCAAAAGGGCGCCGCCGGTGAGAAGGGCAGTGCAAAAGGGAGTGCCGCAGTGGGAGCTTCTCGCGGCGCTTAAGGGCCTTGATAAGAAATACGCCTTCTTCTCCGTTTTCGCAGAGCGATTCTACACTGCAGGTAGGCATTGACAAAACAACGTTTATTTGTTTTCTGTAGACTGTGCATGACTGTTTTCAATCTGGGCGTGTCCTAAACATTTTCTGTTCCCTTTTTTCCCTTTTGTTGCAGCGAAATTTAAGCTAATTTCACTTGACGGCCCTGCGACCATCCTCATCCCCTCTAATATTGGCAACCAATTTATGAAGATAAAGTGGGATTCTTACACTCCGCAGCAGCGCCTACGCATATTGAAGAATCTGATTATAAAGGGGAAATTCAGCAAGAACCGGCTTCTGTCAACTGTTCCGTTATGGCAGTTCCGCACCATGAACATGGACTTGAAGCTGATTAAAATGAATAAGATCAGCCAGCGAGAGTGTTACTTCAGGGCCCTAGGAGGGAAGTCCTTTGGACCTCTGAACATGGCCAATATGAGCCTGACAAAAAACATTCAGATTCACGGCGTTTCTACCGTTCCCATTCCTCCAAATGCATGACACTGGAGTTAATGCCATGTTCCTTGTACACTAATATACCTATATTGGGATGTAATTACGGTTATGTAAGCTGGAACGTTACTATATTTTGTGTGGAAATCAAGGTAACAAAAAGCCCACTTGGATCAGTTTCGAGTACCTGTGAGAGAGGAGTGGACTGCCAGGTCAGAGATGTTGCACAGGGCAAATCGGTCAGGCCCACCAAGGACGAGTGGAGGAAATGGTAGTGTAGATGCTGCAAATCTCAACTTGGATTAAAGAGGGGCAGGGCTTGAAGTGGCCTGTGGTTCCAAACCAATCTGAGGCATGCACTGAATCCAGGAATGCTGCTAAGGTTGCTGGAACGGAATCACAGGAACGAGGGAGTTCCCAAACATGGAGTCGCACGGCTTGAAGTGGCCTGTGGCGCCCATCTGCCTTGCTCTCTGCACCGCCGCCCGCTTTGCCGCCAGCATTCTCTGCACCTCCTCCTGGTGCCGCTGCTGTGCCTGGTGGGCCTGCTGGGACTGGTGCGGCTGGTGGGATTGCTGGGACGCTGCAGCTGACGCAGGCGGCAGTGGTGCCAGAGGAGACTGGGTGGAGACGGAATGGGGTCTAAGAGGAGGTGGGGGGAGAGAGGAGAAATGGGGGAGAGACGGGAAATGGAGGAGAGAGAGAATGAGAGTGGGTGGATGTGGGCTAGGAAGGGAAGCGTTGAGCATTGGATCATTGCAATTGGGTTACATAGAAGAAACATTATGTGGGCAAGAGCGGGTGCAGGGCACAGGCGATTGGATTGAGTCTGGTGCACGATTAAGGCCGATGGGGATCCTAACAGGAGCCGAGTGTGGAATCAAGGAAACGTGGTGGGGAAACAGAGATGTCAGTGCAGCACCTGTGCTGTGGAACTGAGAGCTACCAAAGGCAGAGCGCAGCAGAGGGCTTTTCAAAGGCGATTGGGTTGAGGCAGATGGGATATAAGAGGAGCTGAGTGTGGAATCAAGGAAACGTGGTGGGGAAACAGAGATGTCAGTGCAGCACCTATACTGTGGAACAGAGTGTTTCCAACGGAAGAGCGTAGCAGAGAAATTCTGAAAGCAAAGCGCAACAGAGTTTCATTCAGTGAGGAAGCAGAAGATTCAGTGCAATGAGTGCTTTCCAGAAGGCAGAGGGTTGCCAAGGGCAGAGCGCTTTCCAAAGGCAGCGTTTCAACCGAAGGTGAACGTACAAATAAATCACAAAGAGAGGACGCATACCTCGCTGGCACATGCTTTGCACTGATAAAGGGCTATTTTTGAGACGTCTCGAACATAACCTTTTATGAAAGGCAGCGTTTGAATTGAAGGAGGAAGTGCAAACAAATCACAAGAGAAGAGGCACACCTCGGCGGCACCGGCTCTGCACTGCCGGCTGCTTGCATCGCTCCTGCTGCGGTCGGCTCAGAGGCAACAGAGGCTTGCTGCTGGGTTAGAGGCGAAGGCGGGCAGACGTTGGGTGACGATGGCCGCACCCCCCCAGCTGGTAATTATATTCGAAATGGTGTTGAACCAAGGGAGGAGGGAGAATGTGAGAGGGAGGGGTGTATGTGAGGGATGGAGGGTGGATGTGAATGCAAGGGAGAGACGGGGGTTGCGAGGGAGGGAGGGGGGTTGCGAGGGAGAGAGGGATGGAGAGAGGGGGGTTGCAAGAGAGAGGAAGGGGGGTTGGGAGGGAGGGGGGTTGTGAGGGAGGGGGGTTGTGAGGGAGGGATGAAATAATGTGGCGGGGAGGAATGCGAATGCGAGGGAGTGAGGGAAGTGTGGGGAAAGGACGGCGAACGTGAGGGGGGAAGGGGGGGGGGGAGGGGAAGGAGTAACGTGAGGACAGGAGAGTGAATATAAGCGAGGGAGATTGAATATGAGGGGACCAGGTGTGAATGCCGCATAAAAAGCCACAGCGCCATCAATGACTCCAACCAGAAACGAATCAAATAATAGCAAGGAAAATAGGTCTGGAAAGCATGGGGTTGTCAAGCACATGAGCCCATGAGTCCCTAATCACGACTGCAAGAAATCATGCGTTTGCAGATGTATCAGAGAAACGAAAACCCCTATCTTACCTAACGTGAGAAGGAAAAAACACTGGCTCTAGGTCTTTACCGGGAAAGAACCTGCCATTGCAAAATCAATTCCAACCAATGGCCGTTAGTCTTACATGCAGATGACGTGGCAGCGGTGGCAGGGAACAAGAACCCAGGTGGACCCACAGCAGAAGCCGCTGATAGCCCGCCTCCAGTTCCTCCCAATGACGTGGCAGCAGAACCCGCGGCTGACGTGGCAGGCGCGTGGTGGTGGTCCCGTGGCTTGGCCGCGTGGTCTCGATCCTTGTCGTCTGCATATGGTCGACTGGGAGAGGCGAGAGAGGATACGAAGGAGGTGAGGCATAGGGGGAGGAGGGTGGAGGTAAGGAGCGGAGAGAGGGGGTGGAGGTAAGGAGCGGAGAGAAGGGTGGAGGTAAGGAGCGGAGAGAAGGGTGGAGGCAAGGAGCGGAGAGAGGGGTGGAGGTTGAGGAGCGGAGAGAAGGGTGGAGGTAAGGAGCGGAGAGAGGGGTGGAGGTTGAGGAGCGGAGAGAAGGGTGGAGGTAAGGAGCGGAGAGAAGGGTGGAGGTAAGGAGCGGAGAGAAGGGTGGAGGTAAGGAGCGGAGAGAAGGGTGGAGGTAAGGAGCGGAGAGAAGGGTGGAGGTAAGGAGCGGAGAGAAGGGTGGAGGTAAGGAGCGGAGAGAAGGGTGGAGGTAAGGAGCGGAGAGAAGGGTGGAGGTAAGGAGCGGAGAGAAGGGTGGAGGTAAGGAGCGGAGAGAAGGGTGGAGGTAAGGAGCGGAGAGAAGGGTGGAGGTAAGGAGCGGAGAGAAGGGTGGAGGTAAGGAGCGGAGAGAAGGGTGGAGGTAAGGAGCGGAGAGAAGGGTGGAGGTAAGGAGCGGAGAGAAGGGTGGAGGTAAGGAGCGGAGAGAAGGGTGGAGGTAAGGAGCGGAGAGAAGGGTGGAGGTAAGGAGCGGAGAGAAGGGTGGAGGTAAGGAGCAGAGAGAAGGGTGGAGGTAAGGAGCGGAGAGAAGGGTGGAGGTAAGGAGCGGAGAGAAGGGTGGAGGTAAGGAGCGGAGAGAAGGGTGGAGGTAAGGAGCGGAGAGAAGGGTGGAGGTAAGGAGCGGAGAGAAGGGTGGAGGTAAGGAGCGGAGAGAAGGGTGGAGGTAAGGAGCGGAGAGAAGGGTGGAGGTAAGGAGCGGAGAGAAGGGTGGAGGTAAGGCGCGGAGAGAAGGGTGGAGGTAAGGAGCGGAGAGAAGGGTGGAGGTAAGGAGCGGAGAGAAGGGTGGAGGTAAGGAGCGAGGGGAGGAACTGAGGAGTGGTGAGGCAGCGTGTAGGAACGAAAGACTGAAGCACTAAGGGGAGGTGACGGCGACTACTGATGTAACGGCGACAGAGAGTTCATCCTGACTGCTAGCGGACTGTAATAGCAGGAGGGAACACAGGGTCGAAGTGCAGATGCGACGGGCACACCGTGTTGACTGGACGACGCAAAAGTTCCTCTCTCGACACTTTTGACAACTCTCAATAGTTAATCCCTTGACACTTTTGAGGTGACTTATGAGTCGACTCAAAAGGTGACCTTTCAATAGTTCCTCCCTCTCCCTCACACCTCCAGCACGCCGCTCTCTCAACGTGCGTGCTAGTACGAATAGAAAAGTGCGGAAAAGCCGATCCGATTTGAGACAAGGTGCGTTGAAACTAGCCGCTAATCACGTACCCGCGATGCGCCGACCGGCGCCGCCTGACGTCGGAAGCTGGCCGCGCGTCGGCCATGGAAATCTCGGAAAATGTGTAACCGCTGGAAAAGGTTCAAAGGCACCTAACGCTGCAGCCGTGAGTATTTACGACGGACTGGAATGGTTGCAGGATGCTGGGATCCCAGAATCTTTTTTTCAGCTAAAAAGGCGATGGAGACAGCTGGAAGGAGAATTCAGAATGCCACTAAGCAGCGGGTCCTCTTTTCGATTCCAGTGCAGCATGACGGCTGCTCGAGTGAGCGAGCGACGGCGACTGTTACGTCACCAGCAGGTGCTTTTTGAGGCGCCTACAGGTCGTTCCCGAGTTAGATTGTGCTGCTTTAAGTGGTAAGCACGTAGTGCGAAAAGGCTTGCCAAAATATACGCGCGTGTCCTGAATGCCGACCTGAGAACAGCAACTACATCCGACGCGACGGGTCCTAGGTCCTGACCTAATTGGCGATTCGTCAGTAAACCTAGAGCAAAGAAGCGGATTCGCGTATGATGGCATCGCTAGTTCGCGATTAGTGATAGCATCACTAGTTTTCCTGCTAGCGAAATCGGTGTGGAGGTCCAGGCGAACGTCCCTCATGGTTACGGGATGTGGATGAGGATAATCATGGTGAACACAGAAGTATTGAAACTTTCATTGTTAGAGTACAGTTAATCAACGTAAGAATGATAACAAGCTCTTGATTATTTGGCAATGAGCAACCTAGAGTCAAAATGAGTGCTCCATAGGGTTTGAGAGGGCATGCTGGCAATCTGCCATGATGGAAGTCAGCTTCAGGTGGAGGTCTGTTAGGCACATGTTGCCAATCGAACCCCAGGCAGGAGTCATGGTCTTTGCTAGGCACAACATGTTGCCCACGCCCTACCCATGTACCACCTTCTGAGTCGCAAACAGAAGGCTGTAATTCGTTTTTGCTCATATAAGCACCGGCATGGGATGTGGGGGAGTGTGATGTGGTTGTGACTCCTCTATTTCTGTTGTTCGTGTAGCTCCAAATGAAGTTGTGATGCAGAAAAAACCCCGTTGTTATGTAGAATACTGCACGATCCATGGATGACCTGTCATGCCATGCCATGCCGCCCCATCACATACAGTACCATCCCATGCCACGCCATACCATACACAACAGACAGATGGAAGTTGAGGTGGATGGTGGGCGACGAGACATAGGTGTGAACATATGCCTTGCTGAAAATGTCACTTGCGGTGAATAAGGATGTGATATTTGGGAAAACGTTTCAGGGCACGAGTGTGAGGCGACAGAAGGGGGGGCGTGTGGGAGGGTGGGGGGGAGGAGGAGGGGGGGCGAGCAAGAGCAACAACGCACTGGTCTTTCTCCCGCAAGTAACAACCCACATAGCAAACACGCACCAGCACCACCATCCACTTACCAAGCCAATCAATGCACCCCAAAATCCGAGCCAATCAGCCCAGCCGATTAAACTCACCAAGCAACTCAAGTGCTGATATCCTCTTGCGGGGGTCCTTCACGAGTATCCTCCTTATAAGCTCTTTGGCGTCCTCGCTCACAGTGCGCCACTTGGCGGACCTGAACTGCACCTCCTTGCGCCGGATCGCATCGAATATGCCCTCGTTGCTCGCCGCCCAGAACGGCGGGAAGCCGCACAGCATGATGTATAGGACGATACCCGCCGACCAGATATCAGATTCGGGGCCGTACGAGCCGGTGAGGACCTCTGGGGCCATGTAGTAGGGCGTGCCTACGAACTCAGTGAGAGGCTCGCCTGTAAGGGAGGGGTGAGGAGAGGATAGGGACAAGGAAGAATGAGATGCACATCTGTAAGAGCCGGTGGGGACCTCTGGGGCCATGTGGTAGGGCGTGCCGACAAACTCTGTCAGGGGCTCGCCTGTAACATGGGAGGAGGGAGAGGGGAGGGGAGAGGGGAGGGGGAGTGAGGAGCACGTTTGTACGGGCCAGATATCCGACTCGGGGCCATACGAGCCGGTGGGGACCTCTGGGGCAATGTGGTAGGGCGTGCCTACAAACTCAGTGAGAGGCTCGCCAGTAAAATGGGCAGAGGGGAGAGGGGAGAGGCAAGAGGGGGAGAGAGGAGCACATCTGTAAGAGCCGGTGAGGACCTCTGGGGCCATGTGGTGGGGCGTGCCGACGAGCTCTGTGAGAGGCTCGCCTGTTAGAAGAGGGGAATGGTGGGAGAGGGAAGGGGGAAGGGGGAGAGTGAGTGAGGAGCACATCTGTAAGAACCAGTGAGGACCTCTGGGGCCCTGTAATAGGGCTTGCCTACAAAATCAGTGAGAGGCTTGCCTACGAACTCAGCAAGACGCTCTCTTGTAAAGAGGTGTGGGGGGAGGGGGGAAGAAGGCAGAAAGGGAGTGGGAGGAGAAAGAGGAGGGAGAGGAGAGGGAGGAGGGGGAGGAGAGGGAGAAAAGGGAGGAGAGGGAGGAGAGGGAGGAGAACGAGGTGACGCGGATTTTGGAGGCGCCTAAAAAATAATGACAGCGCCATCGACCCTGTGCTCTCTGCACCACAGGAACACCAAAGTATGGTCTGAACCTCGAGGGTATTTTTGAGACGTCTCAAAAATACCCTCAATACACGAGGCAACACCAAAGTCGATCACTCCAATAGCAGTATCGCCATCCTTGTGCAGGAGTAGTGTAAAATTCCTCACTTGCGGCCCTCTTGATATAAGCCTGCTTCTGAGGAGAATGTTCTCAGGCTTCACATCACATCGCGGGGTGCAATGCCGTTGGAGTGGCAGTACAGCAGCGCCTCCACCAGCGTCTGGCACACAAGCGCACAATGCCATGCCATGCCATGCCATGCCATACCATGCCATGCCATGCTACGCCATGCCATTCTAGTAGACCAATGTTCATACCGTGTCTGAATCGCGTGGCGACGCCAAAGTCGATAACTTTGATATTGGTGTCGTCATCCTTGTGCATGAGGAGAATGTTCTCCGGCTTCACGTCGCGGTGAGCAATGCCATTGGAGTGGCAGTAGAGCAGCGCCTCCACGAGCGTCTGGCACACGAGCGCCGCGCTGCGCTCGCTGTACTGCCCCCTCAGCTTGATGCGGTCGAACAGCTCCCCTCCCTTGCAGATCTCCATCACCAGGTGCACATGCTGCCCCACAAGCAGGGACGATGGGGGCAAGAGGAGGGGTTGACAAGGGAAGGTGAAGAGAGGTGGAGAAAGGTGAAGAGGGTATCGAAGTGACAATAAAGCACCCCGCCCTTGCAGATCTCCATCACCAGGTGCACGTGCAGGGGGGGTGAGAAAGGGGTGGGATGAGGTGCGGGGGGGTAATTCAGCTTACTACCCAACCCTAGCACACCACATGCATACCTCACCTTGCTGTCCTCTAAGGTCTTATAGAGGTCGATGATGTTGGGGTGACCCGTCAGCTGCTGCTTTCAAACAGCCCTCATTAATCCACATACCACACACCACACACACACCCCACCCTTGCCCCACCTTGCTTGCTCTCCTCAAACTTCTCATAGAGGTCGATGATGTTGGGTGGGGTGAGGTGGAGTGGGGTTCCTCTACTTATCGCTCAACCCATACCACACCAAACCCTCATCCCACCTTGCTGTCCTCAAAGGTCTCATAAAGGTCGATGATGTTCAGGGTGGAGTCGGGTGGGGTGCGTTAAGATGGGGTACCTCTGCTCTGCGTACCGTGCGATTCCTCCCACACCGCACACACTTGCCTCACCTTGCTGTCCTGTCTTCCAACCAAGGTCTCATAAAGGTCACTGATGTTGGAATGGGTTACATCTACATCTACTCACTATCCCCCACAAACTCCTCAGCTCACCTTGCTGTCCTAAAACGTCTCATAGAGGTCGATGATGTTGGGGTGGCCCCTCAGCTGCTGCCCTCCATCGGCCATCACTAATCCACCGCACCACCCTGCAACTCCTCCCACACCACACACACGCCCTAACCACCCTCATCTCACCTTGCTGTCCTCAAAAGTCTCATAGAGGTCGATGATGTTGGGGTGGCCCCGCAGCTGCTGCATCAGCTGCACCTCCTTGCGCACGTCCTCTGCATCCTCCGGGCACTGCAGCGGTGGAGTGCGGTGGGGTGGGATGGGGTGGAATGGGGTCAGGTGGAGTGAGGTGGGGTGGGGTGGAGTGGGGTGAAGCGGGGTGGCACATGGAGAGCAATGGGGGAGGCCAGGCACATCAACCCATGGGGAGGCTGCACCACCTGCTCCCGCACCTCTGCGCAAGGAGGTGCAACCCCTCCCCACCCCACCGCACCTCCTTGTGCTGCATCCCCCGGACACTGCAGTGGTGCGCTGCGGTGATGGCATGCGGTGATGGCATGTGGTGATGGCATGCGGTGATGGCATGCGGTGATGGCATGCGGTGATGGCATGCGGTGCGAATTTATACTCCCACCCACACTCCCAAACTCACACCAATGCAAAATCCGCCTCCTGCTCCCACGCCCTCACTCCCACTGTCCCACACCCTCACTCCCACTCTCCCACTCTCCCACACCCTCACTCCCACTCACCCACACCCTCACTCCCACTCTCCCACACCCTCACTCCCACTCTCCCACGCCCTCACTCCCTCTCCCACGCCCTCGCTCCCTCTCTCCCACGCCCTCGCTCCCACTCTCCCTCACCCTCACTCCCACTCTCCCACGCCCTCACTCCCTCTCTCCCACGCCCTCACTCCCACTGTCCCACACCCTCACTCCCACTCTCCCACACCCTCACTCCCACTGTTCCACATCCTCACTTCCACTGTCCCACACCCTCACTCCCACTCTCCCACACCCTCACTCCCACTCTCCCACACCCTCACTCCCACCCACTCCCCCACGCCCTCAATCCTGTCCCTCCCCATCCATCAACCGCCTGCATCGCTGCTGCTCCCTCCCTGCCACAGCGCACACTCTTGCAATCCCCCAACCCAAATGCACCACTCACCTGTATGGACCCTGTGCCGGGGGTAATGATGGCAATCCGTCCCACCCAGCCCCACCCAGCCCCACCCAGCCCCACCCAGCCCCACCCAGAACCTTTGCCTGCTCTGCTAGTCTCAGAGTTCTGTAAAACCACCAAACTGTTTAGTTCATCATTTCTACGCCTTTCAGTCCAGACCAAGCATACAGTTCAGCCCAGGAATCTTCTAGCAACCCTCCCACCCTGAGTTGACTTTTAAGTTGACTCAAAAGTCAACCAAGTCCAGACCAAGCATACAGTTCTGCCCGGGAATCTTCAGTCAACCCTCCCACCCTCACACTCACCACAGTTGGCTCCTCGCTGTTGGTCTTACACGCCAGCAGCACACCCACAACCTGAGTCACGCGCCAGCACCACTATCCGTCCCATCCCACCCTGTCCCACCCCATCCCATCCCACTCACCCCACACAGGCACTCACCACAATCCGTTCCTTGCTGATCGTTTTGCAAGCCAGCAGCGCGCCAGTCATTCTATTGACGCACGATCGAATAACGCCGAACTGCCCCACGCCCAGCTCCTCCTCCTGCACGTCAAACACCTCGGTGACCTCGCGGTACGGCTTGCGCAGGATGAAGTCCGTGTGCCGCAGGCTGCCCCCGTCCACCCATGATGATATGCGCCGGTGCGCGCCCTTCTGTAGCGCCGCCACCGGCCCCGCTACAGCCACCGGCGCTACGGTCACTGGTGCTACAGCTGCCGCTGGTATGCCCCCCCCTGCTGCTGCTGCTGCTGCTCCCAATGCTCCCCCGCCCGCCCCAACCCCGACACTCCCTCTCACCCCACTACCCTCCCTCCTCAGCCCAGACCTTTCTTTCACAGACCCTATCCCCGCCACCCCCCGCACTCCTCTCCCCATTCCTCCTGCTCCGCTTCCCCCTGCCCCCTCTCCCCCCATCCCCCCTCCCCCCGCCTTCCCCGCGGGGGGGCCTACCGCCACCAGTTTAACCTCTCTGCCCTCATCCCCGCTATCATCTGCCCCGATTTCCACTCTTAGCTGTAGCTTTTTCAGCCCTATAGCGGACTTCCGCGGAGACCCTGCGCCTCCAGGTTCCCCCCTGGGCGAACCCGCCGCGCTCCCCCTCTCGCTCCCCCGCTCGCTCCCCCTCTCGCTCCCCCCATCGCCCCCGATCCCCAACCGCTTTCTGTGGGCGGAAATCGCGGCGCTGACAGCGCTCGCGCCGCCACCCGGCGCGTCGCGCCCCGTAGCCACGGACACGTCAGACAACGCGACGGATTCCGTCGGCGAGCTACGCTCCGTCCCCTCCCCGTCATCCTCCTGAACGGGAGACGCGATCCCCCTCATCCCCGCGCGTCCCGCGCCCATCCCTCCCCCCTCCGCATCCGCGTAACCCTGATCCCTCCCCGCCGCTGCCCCCGCGCCGCCCGCCAGCCGCCCCTTCGTGAGCGGCATAGCAGCGGAATAAATATTATGATCCACGCTCCCGATGCGCCGATGGCGCCCCTTTCCGCCGCCCGCGCCCGCTCCGCCGCCCTTCTCCATGTGGCGGAGCACCTGGCGCTGTCCCACCTCCGGCGCTCTCAGCCGGTCCATGCGGCTCCCCTCAATCTCTTTCCCTGCGGAAGACGCGGACGGGGGAAACGCGGGGGTGGGCTTCCGCGCGCCAGGCTCTTCCGCGTCGCTTCCCGCTCTCCCCGCGGCGGAAGCTCCGCCCCCTCCGCCGGCGTCGGAATCACCCCCGCCGCTGCTACTGTGCTCCGCGGAAGAACGCCTGCTGCGCGGCCTTTCTTTTTCCGCGTGGCTCTTCCCCTTCTTGGGTTTCGCCTTGGCGTTCGCCAATGGCGCTTTGACACGTGGTACAGATACCTCGCTCGCGTCGTCGTCGCAGTCTTGTTCCGAATCCGTCTCCTCCTCCGCCATAGCGGGAACAACGGGCTTTAAGATGGGTTCTATTATCGGGTTTTCTACTAACTGAAACCCGCAATTCGGGCAGAACTGGTACCGCGGCTTGCAATACGCGACTCCGCCGGCAGCGGCCGCCAAAGCCGCCGCCGCCGCCGCCAACTCCGCGCTCCCCGGCGGAAATTGCGCCGCGTTCACAGATGGCTTTAACGGAAACCGCGGCTTGTCCGCATCTGACGGTATGGAGTCAGGGGTGTTGACGAGCGGTAATCGCGGATCGACGACGCTATTGATACTGCTGCTGTTGCTGCTGTTGTTAACCCCGTTTCGCATCGACTCCAGCGTCGGCTGTCTCGCCGCGCCGCCCATTGCGCCGCTTCTGCTTCGCCCCCCGCCGCCGTTCGTGCTGTTCCCCGTGGCCGTAGGGACCGCCCCGTACCCGCCGCTTAAACCGGAAAGACTAAGACCGGCCAACGAGGCCCGCGCCTCGACGGCGACGTTATCGGAGGATTTTCGCCTGCGGCGCCCCTCGTGGCTCGAGTGACTGCCGGAGCCGCGCCCGTCCGACATGTGCCCGGGCGACTCTGCGTGGTTGGCGACACTGTGCGGCGAAGCGCTGCGAACGGGTAACCCTACGCCGACGCCGGACCCTGCATGCTTGCTGCTTCCGCGCTCAATCGCGCTTCCCCCGATTCCGCCTCCCCTGCTTCCGCCTCCCCCGACCATATGAAACTCCTGCAGGCGCAGCTCGAGCGGGCTGACGGACGCGACCGTAGCGCGCCGGCGGCTTCCGCTCTTGTGCGGGGGGAGCCCCGAGGGCTGCTCCGAGTGGTACTGCATCTTAAAGCCCTCGGACCCGGCAGTTCAAGTGTAGGACACTTGATACGGGTTTTCTAGGTTATTGGCTGCAATGCGGTGCTTCTAATGACCTCCTAACCATCTGTAGGATAGGTGAGGCGACGGGTGATGATGTTAAAGAATATGGACGAGAGAATATAAGAGGAATTGCGGTAGGTGAGGGAATGGCCTTCGGAACTAGCAGGGGCGATTATTATTTCCGCGAGAGAACGCTGGGAACGCAACGCGAGGCAATGTGAGAGAATGTACTCAGTTAATGCGGGTCGATGTAGCTCACCATGCGAACGATTCGCGTGGAACGTAAACTATCACTACCCTCAAGGACGACAGCTTTCGAAATAATTAATATTAGAGAAACTTATTTTCAGCAACAGCAGAGTTTATATGAAGGTCAGGACCTTGATAGTAGGTTGCGGGAAAGCAAAGCACTGTTGAGCTGGAAGGTTGAGACAGAGGCAACGAGCAAGCTAGTTGGCTGATTTCAAACATGGTGCAGCTGACAAGCTGGCACTGCTGCACGAACAAGCGTCAAACACGGACAGTCCAAACGGAGTTTAAAGCCGTGGTGCAACTATCTTAGGAACAGTGACAAGCCGGCTTTTGTCTTGTTCCGTACTGGTAGTCAATTGGCTAGCGAGTGTGTAAGTTGTGTTGCGATGAAAACATCCAAGGCGAATGTCGCGAACCTCGAAAGGAAAAGTGGGGGGGAAGGGGTGGGGGGAAGGGAAGGGGGGAACACACACGAAACGGGAAATGGGACCACATCAACACCCCCATACTCCCTTTCGCTGATTGTTCTGCCAATAACACCTCCACATTGCAAAACGATAAACCTTATGTTTCACAAAAGCTTTGCAAAATACATATTTCACTTACAAGGATTATTTTGGTTTATTTATCCATCCATTTGCAAGAGTATTATTTCTAATGGGGAGAAAGAACATCAACTGTACAGACGTGCAAGACTTGGAATGTCATATTGAAATCCTTATCATGCAAAGGATCGCAAGCAAACAACATGGCATAATCCAAGGAGAGCCGATTTTTACACTCCGATCCACTATTGGTGAAGCTGTCCATTTACAGGGAGGAGGGGGGAGGGGAAAAGGGGAAGGAAACGTTGCGCATTATTGAAGAATGTTAGGTAGGGAAATTGAAGAGAGCATGGAAATTGAGATATGATAGACAGCCTTCAGTGGCCAAGCAAAGCTGGTACTGTTGGGTGGGCTGGACGAGAGAACGTCGTGGAAAGGGAAGGGACGGTAGTGGGGAAAGGCGAGGGGCAGGGGAGGGGGGAAAGGGATGGCTGAGAGAAGCGTGAATGGTGGGAGAGGATAGTAGGAAAGGGAAGGGATGTGAGAGAGGGGGAGGAAAGGTGGGAGGGAAGGACAGGGGGAAAGGGAGAGAAGGACAGGGGGAAATGGAGAGGAGGACTGGGGGAAAGGGAGAGGAGGACAGGGGGAAAGGGAGAGGAGGACAGGGGGAAAGGGAGAGGAGGACAGGGGGAAAGGGAGAGGAGGACAGGGGGAAAGGGAGAGGAGGACAGGGGGAAAGGGAGAGGAGGACAGGGGGAAAGGGAGAGGAGGACAGGGGGAAAGGGAGAGGAGGACAGGGGGAAAGGGAGAGGAGGACAGGGGGAAAGGGAGAGGAGGACAGGGGGAAAGGGAGAGGAGGACAGGGGGAAAGGGAGAGGAGGACAGGGGGAAAGGGAGAGGAGGACAGGGGGAAAGGGAGAGGAGGACAGGGGGAAAGGGAGAGAAGGACAGGGGGAAAGGGAGAGGAGGACAGGGGTAAAGGGAGAGGAGGACAGGGGGAAAGGGAGAGGAGGACAGGGGGAAAGGGAGAGGAGGACAGGGGGAAAGGGAGAGGAGGACAGGGGGAAAGGGAGAGGAGGACAGGGGGAAAGGGAGAGGAGGACAGGGGGAAAGGGAGAGGAGGACAGGGGGAAAGGGAGAGGAGGACAGGGGGAAAGGGAGAGGAGGACAGGGGGAAAGGGAGAGAAGGACAGGGGGAAAGGGAGAGGAGGACAGGGGTAAAGGGAGAGGAGGACAGGGGGAAAGGGAGAGGAGGACAGGGGGAAAGGGAGAGGAGGACAGGGGGAAAGGGAGAGGAGGACAGGGGGAAAGGGAGAGGAGGACAGGGGGAAAGGGAGAGGAGGACAGGGGGAAATGGAGAGGAGGACAGGGGGAAAGGGAGAGGAGGACAGGGGGAAAGGGAGAGGAGGACAGGGGGAAAGGGAGAGGAGGACAGGGGGAAAGGGAGAGGACAGGGGGAAAGGGAGAGAAGGACAGGGGGAAAGGGAGAGGAGGACTGGGGGAAAGGGAGAGGAGGACAGGGGGAAAGGGAGAGGAGGACAGGGGGAAATGGAGAGGAGGACAGGGGGAAAGGGAGAGGAGGACAGGGGGAAAGGGAGAGGAGGACAGGGGGAAATGGAGAGGAGGACAGGGGGAAAGGGAGAGGAGGACAGGGGGAAAGGGAGAGGAGGACAGGGGGAAAGGGAGAGGAGGACAGGGGGAAAGGGAGAGGAGGACAGGGGGAAATGGAGAGGAGGACAGGGGGAAAGGGAGAGGAGGACAGGGGGAAAGGGAGAGGAGGACAGGGGGAAAGGGAGAGGAGGACAGGGGGAAAGGGAGAGGAAAACAGGGAGGGCACTGCCCAAGAGAAGTTGATGCTGAGGACCGGGCAAGGGATCGGAAAGGGGGAGGCATTGGAGAGGGGGAAATTGGATTATTCCGGGAGGTGACAGGGTGGGACGCGAGATGCTTCGCCACCGTCGCACAGATGCTTCGCCCCGCTGCTCGCTATCGTCGCCCTGGTGCTTGCTATCGTTGCCCTGGTGCTCGCTATCGTCGCCCTGGTTGTCGCTATCGTCGCCTTGATGCTCGCTATCGTCGCCCTGGTGCTCGCTATCGTCGCCCTGGTGCTCACTATCGTCGCCCTGCTGCTCGCTATCGTCACCCCGCTGCTCATATCGTCGCCCCGCTGCTCGCTATCGTCGCCGCACCGCTCGCTATCGTCGCCCCGCTGCTCATATGCGACCACCGATATCTAGCTATCGTCGCCCCGCTGCTCGCCACCGTCGCACCCATTCCTGCCTGTCGCTACCGTTGCGCCTTTGCTACCGCAGATACGTGAGGAATGGAGGGGCGGGAGAGGAATAAGGACGGCAACGGAGGAAAACGAGCGCAATGCGATTCGAATACGACAAAAAAGGTGTTTACGAGGTAGGAAATTGCGCAGATATTCGTGAGCACATCAATAGACCATGAAACGCGAGAAATCTTAGCGGAAATGGCTCTGCGTAGCACGGAAAACGCACTTCAAGTTAGTAAGAACCTAGTTCAAGCGTGAGAGTTTGCCGAGTTTGAGTTGTTTTGAGTTCAAGTTTGAATTTTCAAGTTTGCTGCATGCGATCCCCCTCAATTCGTTGAGCGGAGCTTTTCCCCGAGCCCTCCCCCGTTTCCCCCCCACACACATCATACTGCGAAGGACTTTTCCGCACGCCCTTCCCCCGCTGGCAGAAACCTCTCCCTGCTCGCTTTCCTGTGTATACTGGGTTACGCGGCTTTCAAACTATAATAGTTTGAACTGGAGCCCGGATATCTGCACCGCGGCTTTAAAACCACCGTGGCTTCTAGGTACAGATGGAGCTGCGAACCGTACCGTGCGTATGCAACCAGCGTACGAAACCCAAGAAGGTGGCGCTGGTGGTAGCTGTCGTTTCTGAAACCCAAGAGCCAGCAAGCCAGCCTGAGGTTTGGACCTCAGGTGTTCACAGCCATTGTAAGGTTTGGAAGTCGCAAGCGTGGTAACCTGAATGTTTGTGGTTTGCGATTTTTGGCGACAAAAACTCTACCTTGTGTTCTAGCCTTGAATTTCTGGTGCGAGGTTCGGAATCCTCAAGTTCGGTTCGGGAAGATCACTCAAGCTGATGAAGCCGAGGAGCAAAACAATTGGAGGGAACCACGTGGACATACGTACGCACGCCACCACACGAAACTCGTGGTGGCATTCGGCGGTGTGTGGTGGAAGAATCGGAGTGTTGCACAGTGTCTGGTGTACAGTACACTGACAAGGTGGGTGGATCACCTGGCGGTCCGGCGGCCATGAGTGGAACACTGTGGGTCCCGTGGGGCACAGCCCACCACCCACTAGGCACGAAAGCGGGCACAAACCATTCCCAACAAACAGCCGAAAACGTGCAGTGCACAGGCACTGGGATAACAAGGTTGACTCGTTTGTAATTTCTCCAGCTATTAGAGCATGTTAGGGTTGCACTGTAGAAGCTAGCCTAATGGGCAATTCGTAATGGTCAATGGGGTGATTGGAAAGTGGAAGGCTCTGTTCAAGGTGAGGTCATCATATATAAGAGAAAGAAATTTGCTGTCAAGATACAATGTGCATGTGTAAAACAATAACTGGTACCTACCTAAACGGTACTAGGAACTTCTCCAATATGTCCTTTCTTCAACCCTACCAACAAGCCCCCCTCTCTCTTCCAAATTCCAACCCTTCTCCCCCCCCCCCTCCCCTAACTGATTCCTTTTTGCGGATAAACGAGCCGGAGCTAAGCTTCTTGCCTGAAGCTGGAACCCCAACAACAACTGTCCTCAGTTCCCGCGGCATCTTTCCTCCACTCCAAGTCATCTCCGAAGCACAATGAAAAGTACGGTACGGTTGGTTTTGCCTTTCTTTAATCTTGTGAAATTCATACAGCATCAACACAATACACACGTGGTAACCAGCAACAAACCAAACCCCAACAGTCTCAGGCCGCAGCAGCTGCCTGCTTGTTGCGCTGCACTCGCCTCACCACCTCCTCCATAGCAATATCAAAGGCGTCTCGCTTTTGTTCCATGGGATACATGCGCGGGTGGTTGTACACCACTGCCGGCATCACCTCCCTTATGATCTTCAACCTCATTCGCCGCACCTAGAGAGAGCGGGGAAGGGAAGGCGGAAAGGGGAACGAATAAGGGAGTGGGAGGGAAAAAGAGGGGAGGGCAAAATTAAAGGCGTCTCGCCTGTTCTCCATAGGGTACATGAGTGGATGGTTGTACACCACTGCTGGCATCACCAACCCTTATGATCTTCAACCTCATTCGCCGCACCTAGAGAGAGCGGGGAAGGAAAGACGGAAAGGGGAACGAATAAGGGAGTGGGAGGGAAAAAGAGGGGAGGGCAAAATTAAAGGCGTCTCGCCTGTTCTCCATAGGGTACATGAGTGGATGGTTGTACACCACTGCTGGCATCACCAACCCTTATGATCTTCAACCTCATTCGCCGCACCTAGAAAGAGTGGGAGCACAAGGGGAGGCGCAAGAGGAGGGTAACGAAGAGGGGAAGAGGGGAGGGCGATACAAGAAACGTCTCGCCTGTGTTCCATGGGATACATGCGCGGATGGTTGTACACCCCTGCCGGCAACACCTCTCTTATGTTTCCCAACCGCATGCGCCGCACCTAGAGCAATGGGCACACATGTGGGGAGGGAAATGTGAGAGGAGTAAACATGGGAGGGAAAGGGGGAGGGAAAAAGGGTGCATGCGCAGGAGGCTGTACACCCCTGCTGGGGGTGCATGCCTTATGATCTTCAACCTCATGCGCCGCACCTAGAGCAATGGCACATGCGTAGGGAAGGAAAGTTGAAAGGAGTGAACGTGGAAGGGAATAGGGGCACATGTGCGGGTGGTTGTACACCCCTGCTAGCATCACCTCTCTTATGATCTTCAACCGCATGCAGCGCACCTAGAGAGAGCGAAACGTAGAGTCAGGGGAGGGTAAAGGGGAGGGAAAGGTGCCATGGTTATGTGAAAGAGGTCTTGTCTCTGGTGTATGGGGTGCATGCATGGTGGTAATACATAATACACCGCTGATGGGATGGCTGTTCTCGAGATGCAGATGTGCCATGGGTGATGGGATGGTTGTTCTCGAACATGCTCCTCAATCACACATGCAACAGTGCCACGTATATGCACAACGGTAGCATGCACAACGGTAGCATGCACAACGGTAGCATGCACAACGGTAGCATGCACAACAGTGACTTGCGTAACAGTGACTTGCGCAACAGTGGCTTGCTTAACAGTGACTTGCGTAACAGTGACTTGCATAACAGTGACTTGCGTAATAGTGCCTTGCGTAACAGTGACTTGCGTAACAGTGACTTGCGTAACAGTGACTTGCGTAACAGTGACTTGCATAATAGTGACTTGCGTGACAGTGACTTGCGTAACAGTGACTTGCGTAACAGTGACTTGCGTAACAGTGACTTGCGTAACAGTGACTTGCGTAACAGTGACTTGCGTAACAGTGACTTGCGTAACAGTGACATGCGTAACAGTGACTTGCGTAACAGTGACTTGCGTAACAGTGACATGCGTAACAGTGACTTGCGTAACAGTGACATGCGTAACAGTGACTTGCGTAACAGTGACTTGCGTAACAGTGACTTGCGTATCAGCTACAAACAAGAAACTACAAAGGCACTCTATGTTGACACGGACCATAGAGTCAACAATGTGAGCCTTTGCACTCGGGAAAGGAACCAGGAGTGGGACACACCGACCGAACCAAGAGTGGGACACACCGACCGAAGCAAGAGTGGGACACACCGACCGAACCAAGAGTGGGACATGCCGACCGAACCAAGCACATACAGACAGTTCGCCCTGGTCCTGCTTACCTCCTTTCCTGGAATCTTCTCGAGCTCCTTGATGACGTCAACCTTGCCTGCCAGCACTGCTTTCTCACTCAGCGTCACCGAGTAGGTGCTGCTGTTGGCCGGTAGGTGCCACTTGTACTGTGCAGTAAGGAGTGGGGGAAAGGGGAGAGCCGAGGGATGGATGGAGGGATGAAGGAACAACATGATGATCACTCAGCGTCACCGAGTAGGTGCTGCTGTGGGCCGGTAGGTGCCAATTGTACTGTGCAGTAAGGAGTGGGGGAAAGGGGAGAGCCGAGGGATGGATGGAGGGATGAAGGAACAACATGATGATCACTCAGCGTCACCGAGTAGGTGCTGCTGCTGGCCGGTAGGTGCCACTTGTACTGTGCAGTAAGGAGTGGGGGAAAGGGGAGAGCCGAGGGATGGATGGAGGGATGAAGGAACAACATGATGATCACTCAGCGTCACCGAGTAGGTGCTGCTGTTGGCCGGTAGGTGCCACTTGTACTGTGAAGTATGGGAGTGGGGGAAAGAGGAGAGGAGAGGGATGAGGGAGGAAGGAACAACATGATGATCACTCGACGTCACCGAGTAGGTGCTGTTGTTGGCTGGTAGGTGCCACTTGTACTGCGACGCAGGAGGAGGGGGGGACTGGGAGAGGGGCGGATGGGAGAGGGGCGGATGGAGGGAGGGATAACATGAAGTTGATTTTGAGAATTCTCAAAATGAACCTCAAACAAAACGGGAGGGATAACATGAAGAACCATTTGAAGCGACAGAAAAGCTGTTGCTGTTGGCGGATAGGTGCCACTTGTACTGTGACGCAGGGGAAGGGAGGAGAGAGGAGAGAGATGGAGGGAGGAAGTGACAACATGATCATTCAGTGTCGCCGAGTAGGTGGTGCTGTTGGCCGCTGCTGCTGCACGGCTAGGCCGGCTGCACGACTAGGCCGGCTGCACGACCAGGCCGGCTGCACGACTAGGCCGGCTGCACGACTAGGCCGGCTGCACGACTAGACGGGGCGCCTTTAATATCAACAATGGCAGCTTGACTCATACAGCTGCGTGCTGAGGTTACTAAGAGGGTCACGAGGGAGTGGAGTCGCGGAAGACAGGGATGCAGCCGGCAACGATGGCATCTGGAGGGAACATGCTGAGCCCAGAACATGCTGCACACTCGCACTCACACACCCACACATCCACACTGAGCGCACCTGGGAGGGAACAGAGGAGTCGAGGAAGACGGGGAGGGATGCAGCCAGCAACAATGGCGTCAAAGGCGGCTCTGTGTGCTCAACAAACACATGTACAGCACACCTGAGAGGACACCTGAGCTTACCTGGGAGGGCACCTGTGCTGCATTCACTTGGGAGGGCACCTGTGCTGCATTCACCTGGGAGGGCACGAAGGAGTCGAGGAAGACGGGGATGCAGCCAGCCACGATGGCGTCAAAGGCGGCCCTGCGGGCGCCCGTGTGGCCCGATGGTACGATGCAGAAGGCAGCATCGGTGAATAGATCCATGAGCACCTCTGGCCGCGTGCAGATGTCCTCCACGCACTCCAGGTATCTGGTGGTGATGTGGGATAGTGAGGGGTTTAGAGCGGTACTTGATAGTCAGGCAGATTGGCACGAGGCAGTATATACAAGGCAGAAGGCAGCTTCGGTCAAAAGACCCATGAGCACCTCTGGCCGCGTGCAGATGCCTTCTACGCACTCCAGGTAGCTGTGGTGGGTGGTGAGGGGTTTAGAGAGGTAGTGGAAGGAGGGGAGTGAATAGGAGGAGAGAGGCTTAGAGGGCATCAGAACCGTTGGACCCGTTGTGAAAGTAGCAAATTGAACAAGTCATCAGATTAGAGGAACAACCTAGCATACATAGTTCCAAGGGAAGGTTGGAAGGGAAGGATGAAAGTGACCATAGGTTGGGTTGACCTCACTTGGGGAAGTGAGGGAACCATAGGTCAAGTGGGTTGGGTTGCCCACACTTTGTAGAAGTGAGGCAACCCTAGGCCCACTTGGCTTGGGGTAACCTCAATTGTGGGAAGTGAGGTACCCACAAGTCAAGAGGGTTGCATTTGGGGGCTCCACCACAATTGGGTGGATTGGCACCCCAAAGTGCAAGACTACACCCAAAGTTGGGTGTAGTCCCAACCCAACTGTACACCACAATTGGTGTACAGTCACATGTGTTGGCATGCTACACAATATATATTTTAACACAACCCCTTAGCATGCTAACACAAGAAGAGAACAACCCCTGAATCAAGGGGCGCCCGGGCGAGCAAGGCCAATGAGGCGGAGGAAGGCAGAGTGCGCGGGGCGAAGGAGGGCCTTAGTGAAGATGTCGGCCAAGTTGGCCTCGGTTGCAATCTTGCGAACGGCAATGAGGCCCTTCTGGACGAGCTCGCGAACGAAGAAGTAGCGGAGTTCGATGTGCTTGGAGCGGGCGTGATAGACGGGGTCCTGAGTGAGATGGATGGTGCTGGCGTTGTCGCACCAGAGAGTGGGGCACGTCTGGGGCGCGCCAAGCTCCGCAAGAAGGAAGCAGAGCCAGCGCGACTCCTGGGCGGCCATGGTGCCAGCGTAGAGCTCGGCTTCGCAGGTGGAGAGAGAGATGGCGGAGGAGCGGGTGGAGCGCCAGCTGATGAGGCCGCTGCCAAGGGTGAAGCCGTAGCCCTGGGAGGAGCGGCGGTCCGGCTGCGTGTCAGCCCATGAGGAGTCACTGAAGCCCGAGAGAAGGGGACGGGAAGGGCCGCCGAGGGTGAGGGCAAGGTCCCTGGTCCCGCGAAGGTAGCGGAGGACCCGCTTGGCAGCTTTCCAGTGCTCCTCAGAGTGACGACCGGTGCCGACAAAGCGAGCGAGCACGCTGATGGGGTAGGCGAGGTCGGGGCGGGTGCACATCACTGCGTACATCAAGGACCCAACGAGCTCGGCATAGGGGTGGGGGGAGGAGGTGGGGGAGGTGGGTGGAGCGAGTTGGTGACCGAAGGGGAGCGGGGTGGAAACAGGCTTGGCTTGCGCCATGTCGAATTTCTCCAAGACCTGGCCGATGTAATGGGACTGGGAGAGGGTGATTGTGCGAGCAGGGCGGTTGCGCGTGATGGTCATGCCGAGGTAGTGAGTGAGGGCGCCAACGTCCTTGCACTTGAGCCGCTGCTGCAGGGACAGCTTCACCTGCTCCATGTCGGCCTTGGTGTCAGAGAGCAGGATCATGTCGTCGACATATACCAGAATGAAGAAGCGGCGGGGGGAGGAGCGGATGAAGAGGCTGGCGTCGGAGTGGGAAGCAGAGAAGCCGAGGGACCCCAAGGTGGCAGCCAACTTCGCATGCCACTCACGCGGTGCCTGCTTCAAGCCGTAGACGGGGCGACGCAGCTGCCAGACAGTGTTCTCAGGAAAGGCTGCGTGGAACCCGGGGGGTCGCCGGAGGAAAATGCGCTCATGAAGGTCGCCCTGCAGGAACGCATTGGAGACGTCCATGGAGTCGATTTCCATGTCGTCACGTGCACCAATGTCCATGGCGGCGCGAAGGGTGGGTGGTTTGGCGGTGGGGGCGTAGGTGAACCAGTAGTCCTCAGCCCAAGTCTGCGTGAACCCCTTGGCGCAGTAGCGGGCCTTGTACACTGGTTCCTCGCCCGGCAGCTGCTTCACCCGAAAGACCCATTTGCCGTCAACGAGATTAGCGCCAGCAGGGAGGGGGACATCGACAAAGGAGTCGTTGCGAATGAAAGCCTCACACTCCAGGAAGATCGCTGCTATCCATTTATCCGCATCAGGGCAGGTGATGGCTTCCTGGAAGGTGGAGGGAGTGAAGATGGTGGGGGTAGTAGTGGCGCCAAGGACAGGAAAGCCCAGGAAGTCAAGGTAGAGGGCGGCAAGGAATGGAGTGTGCTCCCGAATGTTGAGGAACTCCTCATGGGAGTCCTCAAGGAGCTGAATGGAGGCAGGAGGAGGAGCCCCAAGGATTTTGTCCACCGAGCGGGTATGGATGTAAGGGAGGAGGAAGGGGGAGGAGCGGGAAGTGGCACGGCGCCGCTGCTGCTGCTGGTGCTGCTGCTGCTGATGCTGCTGCTGCTGCTGCTGTCCCGGCTGCTGCCGATGCGGCTGCCCCGGCTGCTGCTGCTGCTGCTGCTGCTGCTCCGGCTGCTGCTGCTGCTGCTGCTGCTGCTGCTGCTGCCCCGGCTGCTGCTGCTGCTGCTGCCCCTGCTGCCGTTGCTGGTGTTGCTCCCGCTGCTGCTGCTGCTGCTGGTGCTGTTGCTGCCCCTGCTGTTGCTGATCCGGCTGCTGCTGCTGCTGCTGCCCCTGCTGTTGCTGATCCGGCTGCTGGAAAGGAGGAGAATGAGAGGAGGAGGGAGAGGGGGGAGGGGGTGCAGCTGAGTGAGCGGGGGAGGCGGGTGCGGCAGGGTCGTAGACGTCGGCAGAGGAGGAAGGCGGGAGTGGGGCGGCGACAGGTGGGAGGAGAGGCGCTGGAGGGATAAGAGGCGGGAGGATGGTGTCGGTCCAAGCGAGGGGGCGAGTGGGAGGAGGGAGGGGGTCAGGAGGAGGGGTGGAGTAGTAGGGAGTGGACTCGTCGAAGACGACGTCAATGCTGCGGATGAGGCGATTGGTGGGAGGGTGGAGGAATAGGTAGCCTGGGGAATCACGATTGTGCCCAAGGTAGACGCACTCCAGAGCGCGAGGAGCGAGCTTGCCAGCAGCGCGGGAGCGGTCGGCCGGTGGAATGAGGACGAACGCCTTGCAGCCCCAAACACGAAGGCCTGCGGCGTCAGGCTTGGCCTTGGACCAGAGTTCTGTGGGGGAGGAGGAGGGATGCTGAGGGTGGGAGCGGAGATTGAGGAGGAGGGCGGCATGAATGAGAGCATAGCTCCAGAGGGAGGGAGGGGTGGAGGCGTGAGCAATGAGGCAGCGCGCAATCTTGGTGATCTCACGGATGCGACTCTCAGCGATTCCATTTTGCTGAGGGGAGTGGGGAAGGGTGGTGGTCTGCTGAATGCCGTATGTTTTGCAGTAAGTGGAGAGAGTATGATTGATGAACTCACCCCCACCGTCAGAGTGAAGGCGGCCTATGGGACGTTTGAAGTGGTTGCGGCACTGCTCAGCCCAGTGGATGACCACAGCCGGCACCTGGTCTTTCGTGTGAAGAAAGAAGACGGTGGAGTACCGACTGTGGTCGTCGACGAGAACGAGCATGTACCTGTGCCCCTGACGGGAGCGGATGGGATAAGGGCCCCAGAGATCCATGTGAACAAGGTCAATGGGGGCGGGAGCGAAGGTGGGATGACTGTGATGGGGGGACTGTTTGAGCTTGCCATGAATGCATGATGGGCGTGGGGGAGCAGGGGAGGAGGGGAGGGGAGGTAAGGTGGGAGGAAGGCTGTTAAGGAGGCGAGAGGTGACGGTGGAGCGAAGTGCGGCGAAGTTGGGATGGCCGAGTCTGTGATGTAGGAGCACTGCAGGATGGGAGAGGGCAGTAGAGGAGGAGGGGGATGGGGTGGGGGAAAAGTTGGGGGGGGAGGAGGAGGCGGATGGAGTAGAGGAGGAGGATATCGGAGGAGGGGGAGGGGGAGGGTGAGGGGGAGGGAGAAGGGGACCGGTGGAAGTACCAGCACGAGTGGTGACGTGACAAAAGGAGGGACGGGGTGTGCGGAGCGTGTAAAGGCGAGTGCGAGGGCAAAGGGGAATGCGCAGGAGGAAACGACCAGAGGCGGTGTGGTAGAGATCGCAGTAGGAAGCAAAGCCAGGGTATATGGCGGTAATGCCAACGCCTTGGAGTTCACGGTGGGAGAGGAGGTTATTGCGAAGGGTAGGGATGTGGAGACCGGTGACTGTACCGGATGGGAAGGCGGTGCAAGGAAGGGTGGAGAGGTGAGTGCAGGGGATGGAAAAGCTGGAGTCGGCACCATGAACCTGGGTGGGAAGTGGAAGGGGGGTGAGGGTGCCAGCGTCTTTTAGTGCGGTTTCGGTGGCCCCACTGTCAAGGACAAAGTCCAGGGTGGGGGGGGAAGGAGAGGGAGGGAACACAGAGTACTGGAGAGTTGTTTCATGGATAGAAGAGGAAGAGAGCGGCGGGTGCTGCTGCTGTAAGTACTGTTGCTGCTGCGGCTGCTGCGGTGGGAGAGACTGTGACGGTTGCGGCTGGAGAGATTGGGCTGCTGCTGCTGCTGGAAGCACCGCAGATGCTGCCGCGGTTGCTGCGGCTGGAGAGATTGTGGTGGCTGCTGCTGCTGGAAGCACTGCTGCTGCTGCGGATGGAGAGAACTGTGGCTGGTGCTGCTGCTGGAAGCACTGCTGCTGCTGCGGCTGAAGAAACTGTGGCTGCCGCTGCTGCTGGAAGGACTGCTGCTGCTGCGGCGGAAGGAACTGTGGCAGCTGCTGCTGCTGGAAGCACTGCTGCTGCTGCGGCTGGAGAGACTGTGGCTGCTGCTGCTGCAGGAAGGACTGCTGCTGCTGCGGTGGAAGGAACTGTGGCAGCTGCTGCTGCTGGAAGGACTGCCGCTGCTGCGGCTGGAAGGACTGCTGCTGCTGGGGATGGAGAAACTGTGGCGGGTGAGGCTGGAGAGATTGCGGCTGCTGTTGGTGTTGGAAGAACTGCTGCTGCTGCGATTGCCGCGGCTGGAGGAGATGTGGGGGGTGCGGCTGGAGAAATTGTGGTTGCTGCCGCTGCTGGAAGTCCTGCTGCTGCTGATGCTGGAGCTGCTGGAAACGCCGCAGATGGGGAGGGGGGGAGGGGGTGAGCAGGCGGAGATAAGGGGGGGGGGAGGAGAGGAGGGTCGGAGTGTTGAGAAGGGAGGGGCGAGGAGTAACACTGCTCCAGTGAGGAGGGGGGAGAGGGGCAGGGGGGGTAGCAGTCATGATGGGCGACGGCGGGTGGACCCGCGGCGGCCAAGGGTGAAGTTGCTGCTGCGGAGGCTGCTGCACTTCCCCTGCTGCCGCTGCTGCTGCCGCTGGCAGGAGGAGGGAGGGGGGGGGGGGGGGGGGGGGGGTAAAGGAGGGAGACAGCGGTGGAGGGCAGAGGCGTTCAAGGTGCAGGGAGCGACGGTGACAAGGGCGCAGGCGGCTGTGCGAACGTGCGGCGGCGGGAAGGGGAGGCGGTGGCAAAGTCGGGGGCGGCGGCGGCGAGCAGGCCGCGACGACGAGGGGCGCAGGCGACGGCGGAAGGGCCGCGGCGGCGAAACGAGGGACGGCGGCGGCAGGCAGGCCGCGGCAACGAGGGGCGCAGGGGGAGGGGGAGGGGGGGGGAGAGGAGTAGGGAGAGGAGGAAGGGAGGGTGCAGTTGCGGCTGAATCTGCAGGCGGCGACGGGGCAGTCACGGCAGCAGGAAGTGTGGGCGGGGATGGCGCGGTCGCGGTGGAGGATGGGCAGGCGGCGCCGAAGCAGTCGCGGCGGTAGGGCGGCGGCGGCGCAGTGGCGTTAACGGGAACCGCGGGGCGACGATGTTGCAGTTGCGGCGGGGGAAATTGCGGGAGGGTGGCGATGCAGAAGGGGCAGCGAGATGCGTGGGTGACGCGGAAGCAGGTGCGGCGGTGGGAGGGGAGGCGGCAATGCGAAATCGCGGCGGGGGGGGGGTGGGGGCGGGGAGGTGACGACGAGCAGTCGCGGCGGCGGAATGCGCAGGCGGCGATGTTAGGTCGCGGCGGCGGGACGGGCAGGGGGCGACGAGCTGTCGCGGCGGCGGGACGGGCAGACGGCGCCGAAGCAGGCGCGGCGGCGGGAAGGGGAGGCGGCGACGTGACGTCGCGGCGGAGGGACGGGCAGGCGGCGACGAGGCGTCGCGGCGGCGGGATGCGCAGGCGGCGCCGAAGCAGGCGCGGCGGCGGGAACGCGGCGACGAGACGTCGCGGCGGAGGGACGGGCAGGCGGCGACGAGGTGTCGCGGCGGCAGGATGCGCAGGCGGCGCCGTAGCAGGCGCGGCGGCGGGAACGCGGCGACGAGACGTCGCGGCGGAGGGACGGGCAGGCGGCGACGAGGCGTCGCGGCGGCAGGATGAGCAGGCGGCGCCGAAGCAGGCGCGGCGGCGGGAACGCGGCGACGAGACGTCGCGGCGGAGGGACGGGCAGGCGGCGACGAGGCGTCGCGGCGGCAGGATGCGCAAGCGGCGCCGTAGCAGGCGCGGCGGCGGGAACGCGGCGACGTGACGTCGCGGCGGAGGGACGGGCAGCGGGCAGGCGGCGACGAGGCGTCGCGGCGGCAGGATGCGCAGGCGGCGCCGAATCAGGCGCGGCGGCGAGAAGGGGAGGCGGCGACAGGGGGTCGCGGCGGGGGGGAGGAGGGGACAGCGGCGTTGCGCTCGCGGCGGTGGAATCCGCAGGCGAGGAAGGCGTAATCGCGGCGGGAGGGGGGGGGAACGGCGGCGACGGCGTAGGTCGCGGCGAGAGTATGCTAGTGATGGCTAGTTGAGCCACGCGTAGGAAAGGGTTTGTAGCTGTGGGGTGGGCCCATGGGAAAAAAAAAAACTGAAGGGAGGGAGAGGTAAGGCCTAGGAACAAGTAGCTCTATACCATGTGAAAGTAGCAAATTGAACAAGTCATCAGATTAGAGGAACAACCTAGCATACATAGTTCGAAGGGAAGGTTGGAAGGGAAGGATGAAAGTGACCATAGCTTGGGTTGACCTCACTTGGGGAAGTGAGGGAACCATAGGTCAAGTGGGTTGGGTTGCCCACACTTTGTAGAAGTGAGGCAACCCTAGGCCCACTTGGCTTGGGGTAACCTCAATTGTGGGAAGTGAGGTACCCACAAGTCAAGAGGGTTGCATTTGGGGGCTCCACCACAATTGGGTGGATTGGCACCCCAAAGTGCAAGACTACACCCAAAGTTGGGTGTAGTCCCAACCCAACTGTACACCACAATTGGTGTACAGTCACATGTGTTGGCATGCTACACAATATATATTTTAACACCCGTGACGGTGTCTTAGGAGGTAGCTGGTGTCTTACATACATTTGAGGTAGCTGGTGGTGAGGGGAGGAGTGGGATGGAGGTGACGGGATGAGACATAGGAGGGGAGGAGGGGAGGAGAAGAGGAGGAGAGGAGGAGGGGAGGGGAGGAGCGGAGGAGGGGAGGAGGAAAGGTGACCCCACATGCCCTTCATCACCCCACACTCACGGACATGCCTTGCCTCACTCAACTCACCGGCACGCCTTGCCTCACTCAACTCACCGGCACGCCATGGCTTTCTTGCACTGCCTGTCCAGCGCCTTGTCATGCTTGCTGAAGGCGTCCCTAGTGATGCAAGCAAACGACCACTGTCCTTTGATCACCCCACACAATCTGACACTCACCGGCACGCCATGGCTTTCTTGCACTGCCTGTCCAGCGCCTTGTCGTGCTTGCTGAAGGCGTCCCTAGTGATGCAAGCAAACGACCACTGTCCTTTGATCACCCCACACAATCTGACACTCACCGGCACGCCATGGCTTTCTTGCACTGCCTGTCCAGCGCCTTGTCGTGCTTGCTGAAGGCGTCCCTAGTGATGCAAGCAAACGACCACTGTCCTTTGATCACCCCACACAATCTGACACTCACCGGCACGCCATGGCTTTCTTGCACTGCCTGTCCAGCGCCTTGTCGTGCTTGCTGAAGGCGTCCCTAGTGATGCAAGCAAACGACCACTGTCCTTTGATCACCCCACACAATCTGACACTCACCGGCACGCCATGGCTTTCTTGCACTGCCTGTCCAGCGCCTTGTCGTGCTTGCTGAAGGCGTCCCTAGTGATGCAAGCAAACGACCACTGTCCTTTGATCACCCCACACAATCTGACACTCACCGGCACGCCATGGCTTTCTTGCACTGCCTGTCCAGCGCCTTGTCGTGCTTGCTGAAGGCGTCCCTAGTGATGCAAGCAAACGACCACTGTCCTTTGATCACCCCACACAATCTGACACTCACCGGCACGCCATGGCTTTCTTGCACTGCCTGTCCAGCGCCTTGTCGTGCTTGCTGAAGGCGTCCCTAGTGATGCAAGCAAACGACCACTGTCCTTTGATCACCCCACACAATCTGACACTCACCGGCACGCCATGGCTTTCTTGCACTGCCTGTCCAGCGCCTTGTCGTGCTTGCTGAAGGCGTCCCTAGTGATGCAAGCAAACGACCACTGTCCTTTGATCACCCCACACAATCTGACACTCACCGGCACGCCATGGCTTTCTTGCACTGCCTGTCCAGCGCCTTGTCGTGCTTGCTGAAGGCGTCCCTAGTGATGCAAGCAAACGACCACTGTCCTTTGATCACCCCACACAATCTAACACTCACCGGCACGCCATGGCTTTCTTGCACTGCCTGTCCAGCGCCTTGTCGTGCTTGCTGAAGGCGTCCCTAGTGATGCAAGCAAACGACCACTGTCCTTTGATCACCCCACACAATCTGACACTCACCGGCACGCCATGGCTTTCTTGCACTGCCTGTCCAGCGCCTTGTCGTGCTTGCTGAAGGCGTCCCTAGTGATGCAAGCAAACGACCACTGTCCTTTGATCACCCCACACAATCTGACACTCACCGGCACGCCTTGGCTTTCTTGCACTGCCGCCCCAGTGCCTTGTTGTGCTTGCTGAACGCGTCCCTCAGCGATGCAAACGCGGCCAGCGACGTGCGCCGGTGCGACTCGGCTATGCGCTGCCATGTCTGCATTGTGAGCGGGGTGGTGAGAGGGGTGGTGAGAGGGGTGGTGAGAGGGATGGTGAGAGGGATGGTGAGAGGGATGGTGAGAAGGGTAGTGGGAGGGGTGGTGGGAGGGGATGATTAAGAACGCTGCTAACCCATGTCGTCCACTGTTGAATGCACTGCCCTTCACCCCTGGCGTCTCACCTTGTAGTCCTTCTCCCAGCGAGGGTGGAAGAAGGTGAGAGGGGGGATGCCGATCTCGGTGTCCTCCCACAGGTTGGCGGCCAGCACTAGCTTCGTCACGTGCTTCATCTCGGGCAGCAGCAGCAGGCGGTTGCCCCACTGCGACCCCTCTGACCGCCTGAAGTCCCACGAGCCCTGCCCCAGCACGATGAAGTGGTCCGCTCCGTTGCGCTTCTGCAGGGAGAAAAGAGACCAGCACAGGCACAGAAAGGCACAGATAGGTGCAGAAAGGATGCGCCTCAACTCAAGTCCCACGAGCCCTGCCCCAGCAGTATCAAGTGGTCCGCTCCCCTGCTCTTCTGCACAACACAGGAAGGAGGAGCGCAGAAGCATCAGGCAGGCAGGTAGCACATTAGTGCTGTACAACCAGGACCCACCTAAATTCGATAGCCTCACCAAGTGGCTCTTGCAAAGAGAGCGCTTCAAGACTGTTTCGGGACTGAAAAAACACTTAACTACGCACCTTGAATGCTCGCTCCTCATCAACCACACCTCCCTTGCCCTCACACCACACCTGTTCAAACTCCTGTACCTGACACTACGTACCTTGAAGTGCTCCCTTCTCATGAGCCACTTGGCGAGCCCGTCATGCATGCGATCACGGTCGTTCAGAGACGCATTCACCATCACACAGGGCAAAGCAGGGTGCACCACCACATACCATGCCAGACCACCTCTAACCGCTTCGCACCTTGAAGTGCTCCCTTCTCATGAGCCACTTGGCGAGCCCATCATGCATGCGGTCACGGTCGTCCAACGACGCGTTCTTGGCGAAGTGCCAGCGAGTCACGTCCAGGGAGGCGTAGAAAGGGATGAAGAAGAGGTCTGCTTTGTCTGGATCGCTCGTGATGCACTTGTACGCCTTGCGCAGCCTGTAGTGAAAGACCATCTCCAGGGCGTACTGGGAGGAGGGGCACATAGAGAATGGCAAAAAAGGCAGGGGAGAGAAGACGCGTAAAAGGGGTTAAGACAAGATCTGCTTTGTCCGGATCACTGTTAATGCACTTGTACGCCTTGCACAGGCGGTAGTGAAACACCATTTCCAGTGCGTACTGGCAACCACAGAGCAAGGAAGGAGGACAAGGGAGACAAGGAGTAGAATGGGATGAAGAACAAGGCCGCCCTGTCAGGGTCATTGGTGATGGACTTGTACGCCTTGCACAGGGGGTAGTGAAACACCATCTCCAGGGCGTACTGTCACTCACACAGTGTAGGGAGAGACACAAGATAAAAGGGCATGAAGGACAGGTCCGCTCGCTCAGTGTCGCTGGTGCTGCCCTTGTATACCATGTGGAGCCAGTAGTGGGACACCACCTCCCGCAGGGCGCACTGGGAGGAGAGGGAGAGGGGAAGAGACTGGGGAAGGAGAGGGGAAGGGGCACGGGCTGTCAGGGCGATCAGGGTCGCTGGTTATGCCCTTGTATACCTTGCAGCGCCGGTAGTGGCCGGGGGGAGAGAAGAGAGCGAGGTGTCAAAGAGCTTGAGCAAGTGGCAGTTATGATCACCTCACGATGTTTGCAGTCTGAAATACAATCAATGGCTTGCGCATTTGAGAGACGACTTATGCAGCTGTAAGACATGATGCAGTGCGGTGTGGTGTGGTGCAGTGCAGCGTGGTGCAGTGCATGCATACCATGTGCGTCTCGAACCATCGGCCAGAGGGTAGAAGCAGCTTGCTGTTGCGGATTCGGTTTCCCAAGCCGTCGTTCTGTTTGCGCATGGGGGCATGGGATTAGACATGAGGGCATGTCCGGGGGGCATGTAGAGGGGGGTATGCAGTTGGGGGCATGCAGAGCGGGGTATGCAGAGGGGGGCATAAGACATGAGATTAGACATGAGATTAGACATGAGATTAGACATGAGATTAGACATGAGGGCATGCAGAGGGGGGCATGAGAGCAGGCAGGTGAAGAAGCAGAGTAGCAGAGAGGCGCGCACACACACGCCCATACCCCTCAAAACCCGCACAATTCAACCCAACACCCACACAAGAGATGCACCTGGAAGTGCGGGCAGATGGAGAACCAGGGTAGCAGCGTGGCGCACTGCTCGACGAGCCCGCGGTTGTACGCCTGAGCCAGCTTGTGAATGTACACCGTGCGCCCCCGACACCCCTCCACGTCTATCGGCTCTCCCACCGGGTCTGCTGCAACTGCTGCTGCCTCCGCTTTCTGAATAAGAGGGGCAGAGTAGAGGGAAATCGAGGGGGAAGGGGGAGAGAGGGGAAGGGAAAGCTTGTGAATGTACACCGTGCGCCCCCGACACCCCTCCACGTCTATCGGCTCGCCCACCAGATCCGCCGCTACCGCTGCTGCCTCCTCCACTTTTCTGGAGTAGCGATAAGATGAATAAGTGAGGGATTCGCGGGCTCAGGAGGGAAGAGGAAGTAATGTCAAAAGGGGAGGCGTCAATGGAGAGGGGCGAAGGGCGAGTCGAGGCATGGATGAAGGTTGAGGGGTTAAGGGCGAGGGGTTAAGGGCGAGGGGTTAAGGGCGAGGGGTTAAGGGCGAGGGGTTAAGGGCGAGGGGTTAAGGGCGAGGGGTTAAGGGCGAGGGGTTAAGGGCGAGGGGTTAAGGGCGAGGAGTTAAGGGCGAGGGGTTAAGGGCGAGGGGTTAAGGGCGAGGGGTTAAAGGCGAGGGGTTAAGGGCGAGGGGTTAAGGGCGAGGGGTTAAGGGCGAGGGGTTAAGGGCGAGGGGTTAAGGCAAGCAGATGAAGAGCAGGAGGTGCGATGCGGCGGCAAGAGAAAGGGACCAGTGAGCAGATTGCAAGTGCTCACCACTTCCTTGGCAGCGACCGACTGCTGCTCCGACGAGCCCGCACTCTCCCCTGTGGCCTCCCCACCCCCGCTGCTGCTGTTCTCCCCCTCACTGCCACCACCACCACCATCACCACCAGCGTCACCAGCAGCACTGTCATCTGCAGGCCCAGCCCCTTCGTCCTCCTCCTCCGCTCCTTCCCCACTGCTATGCGAGCCCTCCTCCCCCTCCCTCGCCTCCTCCTTCGCCTCCTTCTCCTTCTCCTTCTCCTCCTCGTCCTCCTCGTCTTCTTTCTCCCCCTCCTCATCCTGCGCTTTCTTCCCGCTGCCTGTACCTGCTTCACTGCGTCCCTTCTTCCCTTCCTTCCCACCCCCTTCCTCCTCATCATCCTCTTCATCATCCTCCCCGTCCTCCTCATCCTCGCTCTCACCCTTATCCCCTGCTTTCTTCTCCTTCTTGCCTCCCGCTTCCCCCTCTCCACTCCCCTCATCACTCTCCTCCTCATCCCCCTTTTGCCCTCCCTCACTCTTCCCTCCCGCGTCCTTCTCCTCCTTCTCCTCCTTCTCCTCGTCACCCTCATCACCATCCTTCCCATCCTCATCTTCATCCTCCTTCCCTTGCCCCACACTCGCCTTCACCTCAGTCCTCTTCTCCTCTTCTGCCCCTGGCCGATCAAGAACCACTCCCTCCTCCCCAAACACACCGCTGCCATGAGGTATCTTCTCAGGGAATTGCTGATGCTCTCTTTCAGGGAATGGTTGCGGCTCCCTCTCAGGGAATTGCTGCTGCTCCCTCTCAGGGAATTGCTGCTGCTCCCTCTCAGGGAATTGCTGCTGATGATCCCTCTCAGGAAAATGGTGCTGACGCTCCCTCCAAGGGAATGGCTGTGGCTCCTTATCAGGATACGCCTGCCCACCCTGCCCTGCTCCACTCCCTGCCTCCCCACCCACAGCAGCAGCAGCAGCAGCAGCGGCAGCACCTCCTTCCGCAGTAGCAGCAGCAGTGGCGCCACTGTTAGCAGCAGCATCGTGACCTCTGGCACTCTCTGCTTGTGCTGTCTCCAGCTGGGACGCCTGCAGACATGCGCACACACACCCACAGGAAGGAGTGGGAGGTAAGGAGCAGAATTTCTGCAAGGAGCACAATTCCAGCATGCAGCAGAGAGCACGTGGTGCAGCAGAGAGCACGTGGTGCAGCAGAGAGCACGTGGTGCAGCAGAGAGCACGTGGTGCAGCAGAGCACGTGGTGCAGCAGAGCACGTGGTGCAGCAGAGCACGTGGTGCAGCAGAGGGCCAAGGCAAGACACGCTGTATTGTAGCCATGGAAAACGGGGGGTGGACGAAATAGTGCTCCTGCCTGCTACGCGTTACACCACTCCATCTCACCTGCTGCTGGCTCAACTGCTGCGCTGATGCAGTGAGCACTTGGTCCTCCCACCTGCCTCGGTGACTTTTGAGTCGACTAAAGAATGACCCCATCTCACCTGTTGCGCTGATGCAGGGAGTGCGTGGTCCTCCTGCCTTGCTAGCTCCAACAGGCTCGCCGCGTCCTCGCCCCCGCCTGCTGTGACTGCTGGTGGTGGAACGGACGGAATACGGATGGCATGATGGCATGATGGCATGATGGCATGATGGCATGATGGCATGATGGCATGATGGCATGATGGAATGTTGGCACTATGGCCTCAGAAAATACAATCAAAAGTATTTGAACTTATGCATCCATACCTTCCCACCCATCCAATATCCCCTTCCCTCGGTGTCCTCGCCATAGCCTCTCCCTCTCACACCCTTCCCCCCTCCGCCCTTTGCTCCCCCACCAAACGACTTTCCAAGTTTCACTCCCTCCTCTCCCTTGTTCTCTCCCTGGCCCCACTTCTCTCCACTGCTCCACCATCCCCTCCCACCCGTCCCATTCTTCCACTGCTTTCCACTCCTCTCTTCAACTCAATTTTCCCCATTATCCCACCCCTTCCCTCCTCTCCTCTCTTCAACTCAATTATCCCCATTATCCCACCCCTTCCCTCCTCTCCTCTCTTCTCCCCAGGGGCTCACAGTGCGTGGTTTGCACGGCAACAGGCTGAGCCAGTTGTTGAGGCGTTGATATGGTCTCAGTGTGTGCGATCTGGGCGCCAGTCAAATGCACAAAAGCGCAGGAGTGAATGACGGAGACGGAATTAGACAAGTTGGGTTTGAGGACTCTCCAAAACCAACTTGGTTTCGGTATGCGCGACCTGGGCGCCAGGCACATGCACGAAGGCGCGGGTGTGGATGAGGGAGGCGTACAGCCAGGTGTACAACGCTCGAAAAAGCTCGAGTCTACTCTTTCGCGTCGTATACAATGCAACCCCCGCCAGCCACGCAAGCAGCTACGCGCGCACAAACAAGTTCCGTGCATTCAGCGTACTCTCGCCATGAAAAGACGAGCCCTTTCACGTACGTGTTCCGTCATTTGAACCGCAGGGCCGACCGTGCCGCTCTTCGTGACGTCTGGCTCGCCTGCATGGCAACGCATTGTCACAGGAAAAGAGAAAGAACGACGAGATTCGACGATTTTTGAGTCGACTCAGAAGTGAAATTCCAATGACCGACGGGATGAGAAATGACGAGATACGACGCCAAAACGGAGTGAACTTGACCCCGTAATCAAGATAGTACGGGAGAAGATTGAGAGATTGCGGGGAGAAAGGCGATTATGGGAAGAAAGGAGAGAGAATGGCAGAGACAACGACGGGAAGAAGAGGACACGGCGACGTCGCTCGCACTCTCATAAAGCACGCTGGAAAGGCTCAGCAGCTTACGGAGCTGCATTCTGCGACGCCTCAAAAGTCGCACAAACCATTTTCCAGTCGGCTGATCCATACGCACTACCGTTACTGCTGGCACGGCAGCGGCACACTGTGTCGGAACGAGACGATCGATGCTCCAGACGACGGCATTGCTTACTAGGTATTACGGATATTGTTAGCAATTGAAAATAAGGTCCTCCTGATAAATGATAAGAAAGGACAACGCTAGTAACGTACTCTGATTGGTCGGATGCGATGATGGTCTGGCGAGCATGACGATGAGAATGACTGCTGCGACGGTGAACATGGCGACCTGTGCGACGAACTGTCGCCGCTTCTGCGCCGCCGATCGCGGAGCGAAAATGGAATCCGACTTTCGCTTCGCCTCGTCGTGGTCCGACCCGTCAGGCGACTGCCTCCCGCCTGTCGCATGCCCTCGTCGCACGTCCATCGCTGCGACTGTGCGACACTAACGATCGCAACGGAACAACTAGAGAAAAAACGCGAAGAGATAGCGTAAACTTTATTCAAATTTCACGGCATCATCATTCCGTGAATGAAGGACACGCGGAGGTGAGAATGTGGAAGTGGTCAGGAAGAATGGCAGAGAAAGATGAGAAAGCAATTTGGGGAAGGGAAGCTCAACCTTGGGAGTCCCGTTTTGTGGCTGGAGCGAATCTGGAATATGAAAATTGGCGGGGAGAGAAAGCGGACTGACAAGGAGGGTTCACGTTTTGTTTCGGGCTACCCCGACGTTCTGGGTACCTATTTTGTTAAGGTATTTGTTTTAGCAAAGTGGCACAGGTTTCGCAGTACTGGCGAGAATCAGCAATGACCAATGGACCTCCAACTGTTTGCAGCACGTAGTGCTGGCACTGATTGATAGAAGTTTGGGGGTGAATTGATTTTAGCATTTTGGGGCAAATGGGAGAATAAATTGTTTTGATTTGCTAACCCTTGTGCGAAGTTTGCACCATGTCCATTTTGCGAACAAATCTCACTACATTTGTAACACACACTGTACTGAGCGTTTCGCCTAGTCGTTATTGCGGCTTTGGTTACCCGCTGTAACATAATATCGTATAGATATATTTCATTCTCGACCTTCCACATGCATCTTTGAGTCTGCCAGTAGGTGTCAGCAGGAACTGAATATACTCCAAAATTACAAGCTCTTTTTCATTATTTTTCTTCGCCAGGGCTAGGCCTAGGTAACGTGCCCTTTTGCCAAAATACCTTCGGGAACTAGGAAAGCATCGGGGTTACCTTATTGGCAGGCGTTGTATTTCGCTGCTTTGTGACTTAACTGGGGGGCGAGAGGTCTGCAAGAATGAATCAAGAGGAGCAAAATGGCGGCGAAGATTTCGTTTCCGCGGTGTACATGCGGGTACGCAATTGCCGCCGTAATCAATTTTGTGTGTTTCAAGGCTAACCTTAGCCTCTTTTGGGATTAGCGAGACGGGACGATGTGCGCACCTGCACGTTATAGAAAAAATACAGGCGCTGTTGTGGAGGGCGTTCAGAATATGGATGTTGTATTGTTGGGAGAATCAAGAGCACGTGTAAGGAAAATCTCTTTTTCCTTACTTCGCGTCCCTGCTCAACGCGTACATCACTGTAGCACCACAGTCAGCACCGTTACCACTCGCAATCCTCGCATCGACAATCCGCCCGCCACCTTCGCACGTCGCACCCCGACCTCACGGCTCGGCGGGTAACCCGCGCTCCGGGCCTCCGCTTCGACACTTTTCCCAACCTCAGTCCCAGGCCCGTCGCGCGACAACCACAGTCCATTACCGTTACCACTGTAGTTTCGCTATATATTCTTCGCTCATGCCTTCGCTCATTGTACTCTTGCTTCGATAGTGCAATTCTCGTTCGTTCACTCAATTGCACTCGTAACACTTGGTATTCAGAGCCTACGACCTCTTATCGGACCGCACCCACACCTTCGCTTCCCCACTATCTCAATTTTTTGGGGGGGGTAGACGTCTCTCAGCGACACAGCACCGCCGCTCGTAGTGCTCTCTCGTAAGCACGCACGGCCACGACTGAGGCTCTCGCTGAGCTCGCCCGACACCCCCGCCATGGCCGAATTCACGCTCGCCACATTGACGCAGGAGCAGCTCGACCGTCTGGTGCGCCAACTCGAAGATTCGGCGCTCGAAATTGCGATGCTCACAGCGGAACGTGACTCCGCGCGTCAGCAATCAACGGTGAACACTCCAGCAGCACCACACGCACAAACAAATGCACATGCACAATCGGACGAGCCAATCGTCATCTCGTCCAGGACACCAACACAACACGACAGCGTGGGACAGCGCTCGGGCGCAGCCAGTGATAGCGCCGCCCAACCAATGCCTGGCATGGGAGGAAACAGGGGCGCGCCAAGCCCGCGGGAGCCTCGCGAAGCCCGTCGGCACGTGGAGTTCGCGGCGACAAGTGGCGAACAGGCCATCATGGCACCAATGCCACTCAAGCCGCAACGCCCGCCCTGTTTCGACCCGAGCCAGCGTGGAGGTCCGACGGTTCAATCGTGGGTTTTCACGATGAACGTCTTCTTCGACGCGAATTACGTCGAGTCGGACGCAGCGAAGATTCGGTATGCCGTTTCGCTGTTAAGGGGCCCCGCCATAGACTGGTGGCGAGTCATCGTGACGTCGCCACGCGCCTACGAGCCACCGTCGCAAGAGGAAGGGCCCACGGGTCCAGCTGTCACCTGGAGTTCATTCTGCGAGACCGCCCAATACAGCACGTGGGATGCGTGGTGCGCAGGGCTTCGGGCGCGTTTCGAGCCGATTGCGGCTTCTATTTCGGCGCGTCAGAGATTGCGCACTTGGCGGCAGCTCGGGTCGGTTCAAGATTACACGAGCGGTTTTCTCGCACTTTGCGAGCAGGTCGGCTACATGCACGAAGCGGAGCGGGTGGACCGTTACGTCGGAGGGCTGAAGCCGGATATCTCGCACGAAATCATGCTGCGCGGACTCTCAAACTTCAACGAGATTCTCGCGCTCGCCGAGAAAATTGACATTCTACGCCGACCGAGACCGGGGTCCTACTACGGACATCGTCCTCGGGGACCGATCGAGCACGCCACTGTAAACGCTGTTGCAACGAATGCAGCTGCCGCACCGTTTAAGGGGCGCTGCTTTGCTTGCAACAGGCCGGGCCATCGCAAGAGTGAATGCCCAGAGGATCTAAGGCGCCGTGGAGCAGAGCAGGGGAGGGAGTCTCAGAGGCAGGGAAACGCCAGCAGTCAGTAGAAGTTGGGCCAACTACTGACGAGACTGCCTGCTCGCCCAACCGCACCGACCCTCACCGAGTCACAGTACCGATTCACGCCATCGATCGGGCTCGGATGAATAAGGAGGGTACAACGACGGATTGCCCAGTACAGATCCACGGGAAAATACAGGGAGCAGCAGTGAAGATTTTTATTGACGGAGGAGCAAGCCACAGTTTAGTTAATACCGCAACTGCGCGAAAATTACAACTGACACTTAGTCGCTGCTTACCTGAGATCGACGCACGCTTAGTTGACGGCACGCCGCTGGCCATACGGGAGAAGGTGGAGAGAGTAAAAGTTCGCTGCGGGGGAAACTTCGGGTTTACACAGGAAATGCTCGCGACGACATTGGATGGACATGATGTTTTACTGGGACGTGATTGGCTACGACGGTACAACCCACGAATCGACTGGACGACGGGTAGCTGCACTGTGCGAAGTAGCGGTAACTGGGTCATGCTACCTCGCTGGCAGTCGCCCGAGTCTTCAACGGTCCACGTCAACGCCATCACGATGAAACGGGTTGTCGCCGCTGGAGCTGACGTGTACGCAGTAGATATAGCATTAGTAGGAGAAGCGGAGCAGCCGAGCGATTTTCAGAAACTGTTGGCAGCAGTACCGCCCGAACTACAGGAACTGTTGAAACGGTACCCGGGGATTTTCCCAGACGACTTACCGGAAGGGCTGCCACCTCAGCGGGCGCATGATCATAGGATCGAGTTAGAACCGGGGGCACAGCCAACTGTACAGCGCCAGTTCAGACTGACACAGCCCGAGCTCGACGAACTGAGGAAGCAGTTAGATTATTTGTTAGAGAAGCAGTTTATTCGACCAAGTTCGTCACCGTTCGCCGCACCGATACTGTTCACACCGAAAAAAGGCGGAGGGTTTCGCATGTGCATCGATTACCGAGCGCTCAACAGGGTAACAGTCAAGTCGCGGTACCCCATTCCCCGCGCCGACGAACTGATCGACCAACTGCGAACAGCACGGGTGTTTTCGAAAATAGACTTACGGGGGGGTTACCATCAGATTCGGGTCGAACCATCGGACTGCGCCAAGACAGCATTTAGGACTAGGTACGGGTCGTTTGAGTACACGGTGATGCCTTTCGGGCTGACCAACGCGCCCGCAACATTTCAGATGACCATGAACGAGGCGTTTAGGCCACTCTTAGATAAATGCGTGATAGTTTACCTCGACGACATCCTCGTCTACAGTCGCGACAAGCAGCAGCATTTAGCGGATCTCGAAGCAGTATTTAAAGTTTTAGAGGAACATCGATTACTAACCAAGGGCTCTAAGTGCGAGTTTTTTCGGGACAAACTAGAATTTTTGGGGCACGTTATTTCGGAGGCTGGAGTTGAAATCGACCCAAAGAAGCTGGATACGGTAAAAGCGTGGCGTCCCCCGACGAACATCACGGAACTGCAGAGTTTTTTAGGGTTCGTTAATTATGTTCGTCGGTTCGTCCCCGACATGGCACAGTTGACTGCCCCGCTGATGGATTTCCTGCGAAAGGGGGTCGTTTTTACGTGGGGGGAGAAAGAGCATGCTGCCTTCTCTGCCCTGAAAAATGTTCTCTGTTCACCGCCCGTCCTGCGCATCGCCGACCCACACCGCCCCTTCGAGGTTGTTACAGACGCAAGCGACATCGCCATTGGAGCCGTACTGCTACAGGACTTCGGCAACGGCCTACAGCCCATCGCATACGAGTCACGAAAACTGCATCCGCCCGAGCGAAATTACCCGATACACGACCGCGAAATGCTCGCGATCGTGCATGCGTTCAAAGTGTGGCGCTGCTACTTGACCGGCGCAGACGTGACAGTACGGACAGACCATCGATCACTACAGTACCTCCGCGCACAGCCCCACCTCAACCCACAACAGATTCGGTGGCTCGATTTCCTCGAGTCAAACTTCCACTACACAGTCACCTATAAAAAAGGAGCCTCGAACATCGCCGACGCACTGACCCGCCCCACTGCCCAGATCCACGCGATACTACTCGCCCAGACCAGCCCGCTACTGACAGGACTATTTACCCACGGATATCAAACGGACCCATTCTTCACAGGAGGAAATTCGCAGCAGTTCGCAGCAGCCAAGGGAGTCTATTACGTAAAAGCCGGGACCGACCGCATCTGGGTACCAGGGTACACACTGCTACGGGAATTACTATTACAGGAGGCACACGACGGGGTTACCTCGGGACATTTCGGGGTAGAGAAAACACGGCAGCAGCTGCAGCGGTATTATTACTGGCCCGGAATGTTGACCGACGTGCAGCGACACGTGGCATCGTGTCCCACTTGCCAGATCATGAAGTCAACACGGAAGCGGCCGGCGGGACAGTTGCAGCCAATCCCACCTCCAGAGCGTGCTTGGCAGCAGGTGACGATGGACTTCGTCACGGAGTTACCGGCCGGGGCGAGTGGAAATGACGTGATCCTGGTCGTCGTCGATCGACTGACGAAAATGGCACACTTCGCAGCCTGCAAAAAATCAATCACAGCCGAAGAAACAGCCCGCCTCTTCATCTCTACCGTCGTTCGACTGCACGGGATACCAGCATCAATCATCAGCGACAGAGACACGAAATTCACCAGCAACTTCTGGCGGAACCTGTGGCAGCAGTTCGGCACGCGACTACAGTTTAGTTCATCGTACCACCCCGAAACAGACGGACAGACAGAACGGACAAATCAGACCATGGAACAGCTCATCCGGGCCACGTGCGACGACCCAAACACGTGGGAACAGCAACTGCCACTCATCGAATTCGCATACAACAACGCCCCATCCGCCACGACCCAACAGTCACCGTTTTACCTGAATTACGGACAAGACCCAACAGTACCCATGACCTCGAATCCCGACAACCCGAATCCACGCGCGCAACAGTTCGCCGAAATTTTGCAAGCAGCACGAACCAGGGCAGCAGACGCAATTAAAAAAGCTAACATCATCGCTAAACGCAACGCGGACCGCCACCGCAGACCTGTCACTTACCAGCCCGACGACTTAGTTTTGCTCGACACCCAAAATCTCCGACTGCCCATCACCCCGAAACTCCGCCCCCGATACTGCGGGCCATTTCGCATAAGCCACATGCTTACACCTGTCACCACCCACCTCCTCCTCCCTGCTGACTGGTACGTCAGCCCCTCGTTCCACGTCAGCCTGCTTCGCCCTTATGTCCCGTCCACGAGCCAACTGCCACGCAATCGCCCAGCCGGCATGACAAGACCACCGACTGAACCAATCATCGCCCCCGAGAAAATCCTGAGTCACAGAGTTCGCGACCCTCGAGGAGCCCAAAGGATCGAGTTCTTACCCCGCTGGAAGGACCGTACACCCACCGAAGACAATTGGGTTCCCCTGGACAGAATCGAAAACCACCCCGTCCTCACCGAGTATCTGCGCAGCCGGAATTTCAGGGATGTACACGCACTTTCGTAAGGAGGACCTCCTTAAGGGGGGGGGTAGTGTAAGGAAAATCTCTTTTTCCTTGCTTCGCGTCCCTGCTCAACGCGTACATCACTGTAGCACCACAGTCAGCACCGTTACCACTCGCAATCCTCGCATCGACAATCCGCCTGCCACCTTCGCACGTCGCACCCCGACCTCACGGCTCGGCGGGTAACCAGCGCTCCGGGCCTCCGCTTCGACACTTTTCCCAACCTCAGTCCCAGGCCCGTCGCGCGACAACCACAGTCCATTACCGTTACCACTGTAGTTTCGCTATATATTCTTCGCTCATGCCTTCGCTCATTGTACTCTTGCTTCGATAGTGCAATTCTCGTTCGTTCACTCAATTGCACTCGTAACAGCACGGTTCAATTGACGCTTCCTATCCTGTTTTCGTGCACTGTTCTTTATGCCCTCGCGTGCACAATCTTCTGTCCGTGTATATGCTTGAAGCATCTAGGGTTGCCTGACGAATAGAGATCCTTATGATTCTGAATTATCGCAAAGGCTAGTGAGCAAAGAATTAATATCGAACTTGGAGTCAATCCGAAAAAGCCTCGGCCAGCAGCGCCCGTGCGGTTCTTTCGCGAAGGCTCATACATCCCAAGAAAAGAAACAAAAGAAAAACGCCGCGACCTTCTCTCTTTCACTGGCCGATTGAGAAGGGGGGGGTTGATGATAAAACGGAGGCATGGAAATTGGGACGAGGTTCAGAAGGAGAGAAAACTGGATTTGATGTTCCCCCTTTCACGCTCCCTCATTCAAGGGGAGTAGACGCTGGTGACGAAGAGGAAGAAGAGTGAGCGGGAATTTTGACGCGTTCGCACGTATAAGTCACCTGCTATGTCACCTGCCACCTATCACCTGTCCGCGTTTAGTGTTTCCATGAGCAGGAGCGGTGCAGATGATGAAGCGCAAGAACATGGAGCGGGGTGAGGAGCTGCCACGTGCACGTATCACACACTCTCACCGTGTTCCTTTGAGCAAGAGCGGTAGGAGCAAATGCTGACGATGAAGCGGAAGAACATGGAACAGCGAGAGGAGCTCACCACGTGCATGTATCAGCGCGGTGGTCCACTGGTCCATGGGAATCTCACACCTCTCACCTTTTACGTGCCACCTGTCTGCTTCCCCATGTTCCTTTGAGCAGGAGTGGCAGGAGCGGATGCTGACGATGGAGCGGAAGAACATGGAGCAGCGCGAGGAGCTAACCACGTGCACGTATCAGTGCGGTGGTCCACTGGTCTACGGGAATCTCACACCTCTCACCTCTCACGTGCCACTTGTCTGCTTCCCCGTATTCCTTCGAGCAGGAGCGGCAGGAGAGGATGCTGATGATGAAGCGCAAGAACATGGAGCGCGAGAAGGAGGGCCGCTCATCAGCGCGCCAGAGGCGAGCCGCTGACGGCGCTGGCCCTGGATTCGGTGGTGGTGGCGAAGGGGGGGTGGAGGGGGTCGTCAGGGGGTCAGAGGAGGCCGTCCTGTGGGCCGCTGCCTGATGGTACATTCCATTTCGTTCAGTTCTGCCGAATGTTACGTCCAGTAACCCGTTTAGTTTGACCGACTCAAAGGCACCCCCAATTGATGGTCCATCCCAGTCAGTTTAGACATTCTTACTTTACCCCAGGAGATGACTGTTGAGACCTAGTCAAGATGGGCAATTCTTCCTTTTCTTCCTCCACCCGTCTTTTTTCCAACGTTTGTTTTGTTCTCTTGCTTCCACCAGGGTGGGTCGATTGCCCTTATATGCTCGAGGACATTGGCTTGCTGATCCCCCCCAATAGACGTGCATTTTGACGAGCTTTATAGCTCTACTCGTTCCCTGCACCCACCTAGGGACGAGCGACGAGCGAGAGGATCGGCCAGAAAAACCCGGCCGATTCGAGCCAAGTTTCACTCGACGAGTTTTTACCAACTCGTTCGCGCCCCTTCGTGAGTTTTTTTTGGACCCGCGACGTTTTTTGGACTCAGCGATTTTCGAAAAATAGTCGTCGCTGTCAGAATCAACGATGCAGGAATGATTGGATTAGCAAGAGTTGGGGTACAAGTACTAACCCAAGAAGTGATGTACCTTATAAGTGTCAAACTTATATGCTGCTTATGTGTAGGTTGTAGTGGGGTAGCCCATATGGGGTACAACCCAAATAGGGTTTCCTACTTGTACCCATCTTGCTGCTAGTTCATTCATTCCTCGTTCATTCTTCTGACATGGTATCAGAGCAGGTCCTAGCCTAGGACCGTTCTTTTCTGGCCCACCATTACTTAGTGACCGACTGCAGTTATCGCGTTACCCCACGCCCTGCCCTGCGCTCCGCCGTCAGCGCGCGCCCTGCCCTGCCCTGCCTTGCGTCACACTGCCCGTGTACGCCCAGCCCTGCGTCGCGCTGCCCCGCGCACACCCTGCCCTGCCCCGCGTCGCGCTGCCTCGCGCACGCCCTGCCCTGCCCCGCGTCGCGCTGCCTCGCACACGCCCTGCCCTGCCCCACGTCGCGCTACCCCGCGCACGCCCTGCCCTGCCCCGCGTCGCGCTGCATCGCGCACGCCCTGCCCTGCCCCGCGTCGAGCTGCCTCGGGCACGCCCTGCCCTGCCCCGTGCCCTTCTGCCCCGCACGTCGCGCCCTGCTGCAACCCGCGCATCGCGCCCTGCTGCAGCCCGCGCGTAGCGCCCTGCTGCCCTGCGCGTCGCGCCATACTGCCTGCCCGTTAAACCCGCCGCGGGCCCTCCCTTCGCGCCGCCGCGCCTGCCCGTTACGCCCGCTTCCGCGCCCGCCCGTTTGGCCCGCCGCGGGCCCTGCCTTCGCGCCGCCGCGCCTACCCGTTAGGCCCGTCACGGGCCCGCCCGTTCGCCCCTCCCGCACCTGTCCGCTACGCCCGCCGCGGGCCCGCCCCTTGCGCCCGCCGTGCCTGCGTTTTGCGCCCGCCGCGGGCCTGCACTCGCTGCCCAGCGCCGCCCTGCCTGTGCGCGCTGCTGCCCGCGCCAGCGCCCTGCCCTGCCAACGCACCATATGGCACTTCGTCCTTCCTCTGTTCTACTACGTGTCCCTCTGCCGTCTCCTCCTGTGTCCTCCCTTGCTGACAGTCCGGACCCAGTGTCTGACTCCCTTCGTGCTGCTAGTCCTACTGTCACGCGTCTACTGGCCACTGTTGTCACTCACCCTTCGTTTGAGTCTACTGCTGCGTCTGCTCTTGTTTCTGAGCTGGTTGACTTTGCTACCGCCTGTCGCCTAGACTACGCCGCTAGCCTTATTGCTGAGTCTGAGTCTGTCTGTCCTCCGTCCGTCGGGGGTGAGTGTGCTCTTGGCACGGACGTCCTTGAGGACAGGCAGGAGGACTTTGAGTGTTTTGCAGCTGCTGTACCTCATCTCGTGTCCATGCTGATTGCACGTGAGGGAGACCCGGATGCATGAGACATCCCGACCCCGCGCTCTTACACAGAGGCGATAGAGGGTCCCTACTCCTCTCAGTAGCAGTCAGCTATGGACACAGAGATGGCATCCTGGAAGTCCACAGGCACTTACGTCGACGAGGTTCCCCCACCTGGGGCGAACATCGTCAGTGGCATGTGGATTTTCAGGGTGAAGCGGCCGCCGGGTTCTCCGCCTGTCTTCAAGGCACGTTACGTTGCACGAGGCCTCAGTCAGCGACAGGGAGTTGACTTCTTCCAGACCTTCTCCCCGACCCCGAAGATGACCACTCTTCGGGTTCTGCTGCACGTCGCCGCTCAGCGTGACTACGAGCTTCACTGTCTTGACTTCAGCATTGCTTTCCTACAGGGCAGCCTGCACGAGGAGATCTGCCTGTGCCGCCCACCTGGATTCACAGGGTCATTTCCTGCAGGTACCCAGTGGAGCCTCCGGCGGCCAGTTTACGGTCTCCACCAGACGCCTCACGAGTGGCACGATACACTGACGACGACTCTTGCGGCTCTTGGGTTTGCTCCTTCTACTGCTGACCCGTCGCTGTTTCTACGCACCGACACTTCCCTGCCGCCGTTCTACATCCTCGTGTACGTCGATGACTTGGTCTTTGCCACTGCAGGCAATGCTGGACTGGCCCACGTGAAGTCGCAGCTGCAGAAGAGACACACGTGCACAGACCTCGGTGAGCTCCGCAGCTATCTTGGCTTGCAGATCACCCGGGACAGAGCAAGGCGCACCATTACCTTGACTCAGTCACATATAGTGCAGCAAGTCCTTCAGCGCTTCCGCTTCGACTACGCCTCGCCACAGTCCACTCCTCTGCCTACCGGTCACTCGCTCTTAGCTCTGCCTTCGGATGAGTCCGTAGAGCCGAGTGGCCCGTATCCAGAGCTTGTGGGCTGCCTCATGTACCTGATGACCTGAACTCGACCTGACCTTGCTTACCCTCTTAGCATCCTGGTACACTACGTTGCCCCCGGGAGACACCGACCAGAGCACTAGAAGGCCGCTAAGAGGGTGATGCGCTACTTGTGCAGTACATCGGGCATGGGGCTCGTGCTTGGAGGACGGGCTCAAGTTGTCCTCACTGGTCACGCAGACGCTACTTGGGTTGACGACTTGGCTACGCTGCGGTCGTCACAGGGTTACACCTTCAGCCTTGGTTCCGGCTCTGTTTCGTGGCGGTCTACCCGCTCGTCTTCTGTTCTCGGCTCCAGCTGTGAGGCTGAGATCTACGCGGGAGCCATGGCTGCACAGGAGCTACGCTGGCTCACCTACCTGCTGACTGACCTAGGAGAGCCGCCTCGTTCTCCTCCAGTTCTGTACGTAGACAACAAGGCCATGCTGGCCTTGTGTCGGGAGCACAGACTGGAGCACAGAACGAAGCACATTGCTCTGCGCTACTTCCTTGCTCGAGAGTTGCAACAGCCTGGTCAGCTTCGTCTTGTTTACGTCGCCTCTCAGGTCAACACTACTGATATCTTCACCAAGGCACTTCAGCCTTGTGATCATCAGCGTTTCTGTACTGTTCTAGGCGTTGTGCCTACTTGGCCTCACTTGCTCACTTCTTGACTTTGCTTGTACCGTGATCTTATACTTATACCTGCATGCTTACACTTGCTAGGTTGTGATCACTGTACTGCTTGTTCTCCTTTATATACAACTCTGCATGTGAATTGGCCTTGTGGCCATTTGATTGTGCTCAGGATGCGTGGTGACTTCGTGATCCACCCTGAGCTTGCTTTGCTTTTCTTGACTGGTCTTGTGGCCTCTTGTTCTCCCCCACTTTGCCTATGGGGTGGTGTCAAACTTATATGCTGCTTGTTGTGTAGGTTGTAGTGGGGTAGCCCATATGGGGTACAACCCAATTAGGGATTCCTGCTTGTACCCATCCTGCTGCTAATTCATTCATTCCTCGTTCATTCTTCTGACAATAAGGAGTGCCCCACTATAGCCTACTTTGACACACACCCATAGGCTAAGTGGGGGACAATAAGACGGTCAAAAGACCAGTCAAGCAAGACAACAGGGCCAAGCAAAACAAAATCCGAGCACAAGCAAGCGGCCACAAGGCAGTTCACATGCAGAGATATAATAGCAAGGCAGTACACTGATCACAACCTAGCAAGAGGAAACATGCAGGTATAAATATAGATATTTGTGTACAACAAGTGCAAGATCAAGAGACAAGCAGGTGAGGTAGAACGGGCAGAAGCTCAAGAGTAGTGCAAAAACGCTGAAGATCACCAGACCCGAGGGCCTTGGTGAAGACATCAGCAGTGTTAGCCCGAGAGGCCACGTAAGAAAGACGAAGCTGACCACGCTGCTGCAGCTCTCGAGCAAGAAAGTAGCGAAGAGCAATGTGCTTCGTTCTGTGCTCTAGTCTCTGCTCCTGACACAAGGCAAGCATAGCCTTGTTGTCGACGTACAGAACTGGAGGAGAATGAGGCCGCTCCCCCAAGTTTGTCACCAGGTAGGTGAGCCAGCGTAGCTCCTGTGCAGCCAATTCCCCCGCGTAGATCTCGGCCTCACAGCTGGAACCAAGCAAAGAAGAAGAACGAGTGGACCTCCACGAGACAGAGCCAGAGCCAAGACTGAAGGTGTAACCCTGTGACGAACGCTGAGTCGCCTGGTCGTCGGCCCAAGAAGCGTCGGAGTGTCCTGTGAGTACCACTGAAACCTGTCCTCCAAGCACAAGCCCAATGCCCGATGTATTACACAAGTAACGCAGTACCCTCTTCGCAGCATCAAAGTGCACCTTTCGGTGTCTACCGGGAGCCACGTAGCGAGCCATGAGGCTGAGAGGGTACGCGAGGTCAGGTCGAGTGCACGTCATCAGGTACATGAGGCAACCCACGAGCTCTGGGTACGGACCACTCGGCTCTACGGACTCGTCCGAAGGTGGAGCTGAGAGCGAGTGGCCAGTAGACAGAGGAGTGGGCTATGGCGAGGACCACTTGAAGCCGAAGCGCTGAAGGACCTGGTGCACCATGTGTGTGACTGAGTCAGTGTGATGGTGCCCCGTGCTCTGTCCCGGGTGATTTGCAGGCCAAGATAGCTACGCAGCTCACCCAGGTCAGTGCACGTGTCTCTCTCCTGCAGCTCTGCCTTCACTAGGGCCAGCGCCTCAGTGTCAGGAGTAGCAAAAACCTAGTTGTCGACGTACACCAGAAAGGCGGCAGGGTAGGGTCGGTGCGTAGAAATAGCGACGGGTTAGCAGAGGAAGGAACAAACCCAAGAGCCGCAAGTGTAGTCCTCAGTGTGTCGTGCCACTCTTGGGGCGCCTGGCGGAGACCGTAGACTGGCCGCCGGAGGCTCCACTAGGTACCCGCAGGAAACAACCCAGTGAAACCAGGTGGGCGGCGCAACCAGATCTCCTCGTGAAGGCTGCCCTGCAAGATAGCTGTGGAGAAGTCGAGGGAGTGCAGCTCGTAGTCACGCTGTGCTGCAACGTGCAGCAGCACTCGAAGAGTAGTCATCTTCGGGGTGGGGGAGAAGGTCTGGAAGAAGTCGACCCCCTGTCGCTGACTGAAGCCTCGAGCAACGTAACGCGCCTTGAAGGCAGGTGGAGAACCCGGCGGCCGCTTCACTCTGAAAATCCACATGCCATCGACTATGTTCGCCCTAGGAGGAGGAACATCGTCGACGTAGGTGCCTGCGGACTTCCAGGAAGCCATCTCTGCGTCCATGGCTGTCTCTCACTGAGAGGAGTACTTACCCGCGACCGCCACAGCGTAAGAGCACGAGGTAGGGATGTCAAGTGCATCCGGGTCTCCCTCAGGACAAAGCAACATGGATGCAAAAGGAGGTAAAGTGGCCGCAAGACACTCAAGCTCAAACTGCCTGTCCTCAAGGACGTCACTGCTAAGGGTAGGCTCACCCCCGACGGACGGAGGATAGACAGACTCAGATTCAGTAACAAGACTCGCGACGTAGTCGAGACGACTCCTAGCTGCAAAGTCGACCAGCTCAGTGACTAGGGCAAACGCTGCAGTAGACTCAAAGTCAGGGTCAGTAGCGAGGAGACGAGTGACAGTAGGACTGGCAGCACGAGCAAGTTCGGACTCAGGGTCAGGAATGTGCGGATGAGAGGACGCGGGAGGCTCAGGCAGGACAACACGCTGTCGAACAGAGGAAGGACGAAGTGCCATACCGTGACTGCCTCGGACAGTAGGAGGACGTGGACGAGCGACACGACGAGTACGAACAGGTGTGGAAGCACAAGTCTCAGGCTCACGACGCTTAGTCAAGGTTTCAGTCACCTTAGTGTGAGGAGCAGGAGCAGGCAGCGGGGAGCCAGGCAGTAGCTGTGGCTAAGACTGGTCTGTCGGTGGACACAGGAGAGGTGGAGTGAGGCCAGTGGAAGACGGGAGACTAAGAACCTGGTGAAGGACCGAGTCAGGCGGCGGTAGGGACGACTGCGGCTGCGAGCACAAAATCAGTCGGCGGGGCAGGACCAGCAGCTCCAGCTCCTCCAACACCAGCATCACCAGTACCTCCAGCACCAGCAGCTCCAGTAGCACCTCCAGCACCTCCAGCACCAGCAGCACCACGAGCTCCAGCAGCGCCAGCACCTCTAGCACTAG